AGTGCATGTTCGGAGTACCGTCGGGCAAGCTGCTCAGATTCCTTGTCTCTGGCAGAGGGATAGAAGCAAACCCCGAGAAGATCAAGGCAATCGAGAACATGAAGTCGCCTACAAGACTCAAGGAGGTACAAAAGCTAACCGGATGCATGGCAGCACTAAGCAGATTCGTCGCTAAGATGGGAGAACGACATTGACCTTGCCAGATGGTCTATCTCCGCCGGAGCCCTCCGAGAACGAGCAAAACCCTCACGAAGATGTTCGAGGTCCAGGTGCGGGCGATGATCTCGTAGGCAAGCCAACACATGCCCCCCGGCATATCGGCTCGATCGACGACACTCCTGCTTCAAGGCCTCGTCGATACGCTTACCGATTCCATCGAGTTGGGCACAGGCCCCATTAAGCCACGAGATGTACCTGGCCGCCGACTCATCGGGATCTCCGCGGACTACTCGAAGCTCCCTGCATACTCTGGCCATGGATGTGCAGCAACTCTTCAAGTACGAGTTAAACCATACCTCACGGCCTCGGAGCGTTTCCACAGCCTGCTCTTTCTTCACGGCCAGCATGGTTCTCTCGAGCTCCGCCACTTCAAACTTCGCTTCCAGTATTGGATACGACGATCTTGGCTAGCAAGGGCACCCTCGAGATCTGCTAAACGTGATAATCACTAAGTCGAGCTGTACATCTCTTTCGGGAACATGGCTGACCTAGTCAGATGGGCATTAAGGGGTGAAGGGACTACTAACCTGAGGAAGTCGTCGCCATCCTTCCCTCTATATCAAGGGGTTGATCCACATGGTCAGGCGAGACGTGTGGTTCAAACTCGAGTACCGGAATTACTGCCAGTGACTCGGGCTGCCCGCGCTGCTGGACATCCTCGTCATCAATATCTCTACAAGAGGACAAAAGTTCCCGAGGTCAGCATACCAAAGTAAGCCGGGATAGTAATCGCACTCACAAAGGCGGTCAGAGTTCGAGTTTTACACATTATCTAGGAAATACAAGAAGTCCTACTCTTCAAAAAGGGGGAGAACAGACTCCCCCAGATCACCGACTTCTTCCATCACCTCCTTACGCGTGTCGCTGGCCGCCCCCTGGTCCAAGATCTCGCGCAGATCGAGTTCAGGACGCGACAGCCTTACACACGCGAGGACATGACACGCCCCGGTGTAGATTCCGTTTGACGTCTCCTCCGCAATCCTGGCCGCATGCTTGGAGGGGATTTCCCCCATTGCCGTCGCCAGTTCCGCGAGAGAGGAGGTCAGCGAAAACTCATCGGGATTCGCCGGGATCGTGGACGTGACGCCGCATTCCCCAGCGAGCTGGTGAAGGCCGGTGTAGGTGACCCTCAACGAGCCCCAGATCTCAGATAGGTTGTTCCCGAGTTCCGACATTCGGTCCTCAAGCCCCTTCCGTTGTCGCTCGTTGCCAGCCGCCAACTCCCTCATCTTCGTGAGGTCTTCACGGGCTTCAGCCAACTCGCGCACCAGTCTGTCAGCACGCACGTTCACCGTCGCCGCTTCCGACCTCGCCTCCGCAATTTCGCGGCCGATGCTGCGAGCACCGGCTTCGAGGAGGCGCCCCATCTCGACTTGGAGCTCCTCCCAGGTGAGGACTGCAACTGGTAGATCACGACCTGCCGCGGGGTCGCTGACGGGGCCACTAGGCGTCGCCTCCCGGCTCCCGGCTGCGGGCACGACATCCGTCGAGGCCACGACGGGCGACGCACTGGAAGCTCCTCCGGACTTGGCTTGCGCAGCCTTTGCCCGCGCCTCCCTACAGGACGACCACGAGTCAGACAACAATCAAATAAGAAGCGCGGGGATTCAAGAATTCATCTACTTACTTCTCGCCGATCGTCACAATGCGTTGTCGTCGTGGAGGTGGGGGAGACGCATCTGAGGCCTGGAATACAATCAACGCAAAGTAAGGAAAAATCCTTCTTGCTGCATGATTTAACAACAAAATAAATTACCGAGGGGGTCGACACCTTGCGACATTGTCCGCTTACAGACGAGAATTTCCTCGGCTTTGTTGGAACATTGCCACCGCTAGTGGTGGCAGCATCAGATACCTCCTTGACGACCTTCACTTTCAGAGATGACGCCACCTGATGGTCCGTGAGCGGTCCGATGATATCAGTCAAAGGAAGGGCCTACGCTCAATCAAGTCATAAAGTGATTTCGAAAGGAGAATGCGGGATATTCATCGAATATACTTACGTTGATGGCTTCATCACGTTCTGCTGCCCCCTTTTCACAAAGGGGCACAGGGATGTCACTCGCCGTGGTCGGGTCGCTGATCATCACTTGGCCGACGCGACGCTCCACGGTTTCGCCGCTCAGACCTGTTAATCGAGAACCATCCTACGATAAGTCAAGAGGAATGCGAACACAAGTATGTCAAGATGAATGCGAGAAAGATACCCCGAGGAGAAACTCGGGTCACGTCCTTTGGCCCGGAATAGTTATAAGCTGGATGGGCCCGAGCCTGAAGCGGCTGGATCCACCTACCAACGAAGTCTGCAACGACTTCATATCCCGAAAAACCCCCGTACTCGGAGATCGTCGATGATGTCAATAAACGACTGAAGAGAGGGGGTCAAGGGGGGCTTGGCGGTCCAAGACGGAATCTTGTCCGGTTGATCTCCGGGAACCACGAAGACAGGGTTCGAGTCCTTGATCTCAAGATAAAACCACCTATTCCTCCACTTGCTGCGAGAAGAAGGGCACTGGAAGGGAATGTAACGCGACTTCAGGCCATCCCGAAGTCGGAACCCGACGCAACCAGATACCCTGTTGGATTCCATCCAACGCAGTTCGTAGTAAAAGCGAAAAAGATCAAGGAAAGGCTCTACCCCGATGTACGCCTCGCAAAGATGCACAAAGATGCTAAGGAAGGCGATGGAATTGGGGTTCAAATGGAGAAGAGAAAGACCATAGAAATTCAAAACCAGGAGAAGAAATTCGGAAGGAGGAGGGAGAAAACCGCAGAGAACATAATCTTCGATCGCAACCATGCGACCCAAGATGGGCTGAGGATTAGTACCTCCTGCTTCACTCTCCATGGTTCCACGGCCAGGAAGAGCGCCATCCTCCTGGAGTTTCTTCAACGTTGCACTGGTGGAAGCCGATTTGCCGAGGTCCGTTGCTGATCGAAGGTCGCCGGAAAACGAGCCTAGGTTGATGAACTAGGGTTTCTTGCGGCGGCGGAGAAGGCAAAGAGTGCTTGCAGGTGGTGTGTGTTTAACAGATTTGGCGGACTTCAAAATGGATTCCCAAAATTCCTTTAAATAGGCGCACTACCGACGGTGCGAATTCCAGGGAACAGAGAGAGATGCCCGCCGGAAATTTCTGGTCCCGTTACGCGCGGCAGTTTTTTGGACTTCAGTTTAAAATTCGCTCGTGACCGTTGGGCTTCAAATGGCGTGCTCGACTACGGTCTATCTCCGCGGTCCTCGCACCGGGAATGACAATAGTCTCGACACCCGAAGTCGCAAATGGTTGCACGAGTTCATTTTAAGCAGAAGTCGGGGGCTACTGTCAAGGTTACGGGTTAGGCATACCCTTTACCCTTCGATATACGTTACATATCGATATGGCATACCCACGCGCATGCAGATATTTCCTGTATATTCTAAGGAAACCTTTTACGGAATCTACAGATGGGAAGAATCCTACTTAGGCAGAACTGGGTCGTTGGCGTATCGTATAGGGTCTGATATCTCCGAGTTCTATGTGGAGACCTCCAGATCTGCGATATAAAAGGGGCCCCCCGGGGAGGGTTTAGGCATTGAATCTCAGAGCCAACACAATCTCCACAGCCTACGAAGCCGGAGCTTACGAGGAGCCAAGTCACCGAGAGCTAGTTGAATCAACTCGACTACAATCTCGCCGGATCCGACAAGTTCCCTTGTTCTCTTTGTAACCTGTGTTTTCTACCATATAATCCCACATCAACTGGATAATTCTTGTCTCTTGAACCAGTATAATTCTTGTCTTTTGTTTGCTTGATGTCGTACTACGTAGATCCTTGTACCAACGTACCCCAATACCCTTTATATCCGGTCTACGGGTATCACCCGTCAACATAATATTTTTTACTGTTCTTAAATATAGGATATTCTACATACGTGTACATACCTCGGTGGGAGCACCATGTTCCAAGTCCTATATATACGGAAACAAGTATGTTATATTAGAGTCCGTAGTAGAAAATAAAGGAGTCCCCGATAAAGAAAAAAAATACAATCGTACTTTGACCCGACCAAGACCACTCGGATCGTATCCATCCTTGCATCCTAGTTCTACACTTCTACTTGGATAAGATGGCACCTGAGTGTAGAAATACAAGGCCCAAGAGAAGAGTGGGGAACCACCAATAAGAAACAGAGATAACACAATACAAGCTACCTCTAATCTCGTAGCTTACAACAGCTAACCTCAACCACTATGCTCGAGTTCCACGCTTATATATTGGCTGATCAATAGGAGTAGGGCTATTATGGGTGACGATCAAATTGAAACGAATGGAATATGTTGTAAGAAAATGCTCTTGACGAAGATCGAATCCCATGCATCGTACCATGCCCCCATGCTCATTCAATTCCAGCTTTTCTTTAGAACTTGTTTTTCCTCGTGAAGATAAAATTTGAACTGAAATGTTTGTGGTGTGACATATATCATCATGCTCTATGTTAAATTACTTCTTCGTTCGTTCAAAATATAGCAACCTTTGAACGGGTGAATCATACAAATCCCCTATCTAGATTCATAGTACGATAGATCCAATCTATTTAAATGTGGTTATATTTTCATATTTTGTGATCGAGATAATATTTTATACTAACCCATACTGCAACGTTTATAAGTGGTTAGTTGACCTTTTACAACAACAGTAGCACTACTTTAAAGCTTAAAACCGGGAGCACTTTACAAACACTACCTCAACTCCATGACAAACGATGGAGTCTATATAGGGCCTACCACCACGGCACCACCACCTGTTCTCTAACATCCCGTGTCAGTGTGTCACCGACCTCATGTTCCAATGCCACGACCACGCACGAAGCCGTTCTTTCAATCCTTCTCCGTGTCCAATCCTAAAATCCAACGACGATTATTCTCCTCCAGAAAATTGTTTTAAATCCCCCAAAATACCACCACCACACCACATCGCCTCATTCCATCCATTTCTTCTCGTAGAAAAAATCGCAAAAAAAAAACACGTTAGGAAAAAGAAAAAAAAAAGAAGCACACGCGAAAAGTGGAAGAGAAAAAGGATTAAAAAAGCCGCGGAAAAAATACAATTTAGCCGGAGAAGGTAGAGACGTTACGGCGCCGGTGCCGCGCACGGCAGAGCAACCAACTCCGGCGAGGACGCAGCGGCCTACGCCTATTTAAACCTCGCCGGTGCTCGCCGAGGCGGCGGACTCTCTCACCGGCGAACGCGGAATCGGAATCTGAATCGGGCGGTGGGGGTGGAGGGGAGGGATAGAGGGGGTTTGACGAGAGTGGAGAATGCCGACTCCGGCGGCGCTGCTCCTCACCGCGGCCACCGGCTCGGCGGCGCTGTCGGTGGGCGTGGCGGCGGTGGGGCCCAGGGCGCCGTCGCTGCTTCTGCGGTCGGCGTCGGCCACGAGGAGGGCCCCGGGGCGGGCGAGGCCGACGAGGATCCGCGCCGCGGCGGCGATCGGGGGAGAGTTCGGCGGGCTGGCCCAGCGGCGCGCCCTCGCCGGGGAGTTCATCGAGCGGCTGCGGAACGTGCTGCCCGGGGGAAGCTGGTGGCGCCTCGAGGACGGCGAGGAGGCCGGGGGCGGCCGCGCCGAGGCCAGCGGCGCCACGGCCGCCTCCGCGCTCAGGCGGATGTGGGCGCTCGTCGCCTCCGACCGATGGGTTGTCTTCGTCGGATTCGCGTCCCTCGTCGGCGCTGCGGTAATGGCGATTTCTGGGTTTGACCTCTGCTGCTGCAGAGTTCTCGTTGATGGGTCTAAAACGCGGTGACGTGTGGTTGTGGTTGCAGCTCGCGGAGATCGCGATACCCCATCTCCTCGCAGCGTCCATCTTCTCGGCGCAGAACGGAGGGGCTGTGTTCTACCGGAACGCTAAGCTTCTGGTTGTTCTGTGTTTGATTTCCGGAGTGTTTAGGTCAGTTATTGCTTCTTTGCTTTGTTAAAACTGTGCTTAAGTCGTGAACGCGATCATTAGAGAAGCCAACAAGTAGGTGATGCTGCATTCATCGGAAAAACCAAAGAAGTTGGTAATCCTGCATTTTCAAGCATGCATTCTGTATTTCTGTCCACAATACAACTGTACCTGATCACATTGTTGTTGTGGTGAAAACTGAAAAGGTCGTTAGACGTTTAGGTCCATAAGATCACTTCCATGGATGGTGTGGTTGACAATGTAATATCATATAATGTGTTGGTAGTCCAAATCTAGGGCAGGAATGGAAATGCTTTGAGCTTCAATGGGTCTGAATATTGAAAATCTTCTATTATGCTGATGAATCGATTTGGTAGCTCATGGCACTATAGGGTAGCATAAATACAAATTTCTACATTTACCAGTGTCCTGTCAAATGCACTATAGGCATTTAGCAAGATACTCCGTAATCTGCATTGAAACCAAAATTGTTTGTCTTCTGCATGTTTTTTTTTTTTTTTGTGAAAAATCAATTGTGGTTGCTTACTAGCTGGTATCCAATTTTGCAGTGGTGTGCGAAGCTGCTGTTTTGGTGTTGCAAACATGATATTGGTAAAACCATGTTAGATTTCTTAATGTAACTTTCCAAGTTTATTCCTCACGATTGCCCCTTTGTTTGACCAGTCTCTAACCTTCATCATCTGAAAATTTTCCGTAGGTCAAACGAATGAGAGAAATGCTGTTTGATTCTATTCTTTCTCAGGTAAAACAAAAGGAATAAAAAATATTACTGCTGAAAGAAATTTCATTAATGTACATAAAGTTTTCTGTTGTTTTACTTTGGTTGACCCAAGTATGAAGCTTTTAACTGTATTTTAAATTATGCTAGGACATTGCTTTTTTTGATGAAGAAACTGTTGGTGATTTGACAAGTAGGCTTGGTTCTGACTGCCAGCAAGTGTCACGAGTCATTGGCAATGATCTTAATCTTATCTCACGCAATTTGCTTCAGGTGAAAAGGTTGTTTAGTAGTCTTGTATGAAAATGTAACCAGTAGCTTCAAAAACTCACGTACCATTTTGTCACTTTATTTCAGGGTGTAGGCGCACTAATTTATCTGCTAGTCTTATCTTGGCCACTTGGAATGTGCACTATGTTGATTTGTGCGACATTGTCGACCATTATGCTAGTTCATGGACGGTAAAAACCTACTCTTATTTACCTTGTATATTGTCTCTCCCTTTTCTGTGTTAGCTGTCTTTCATATTACATTACCTGAGTAGTGAAAGTTCAAGGAAGCACCACCACGTTTTTATTTTGTTGCTTAACACCTGTGATCCATGCGAGAGAAATCATTATGATACTGTGATTAATAGGTATCAGAAAAGAGCAGCCAAATTTGCACAGGAGTTCACTGCAAGTGCCAACAATGTAAGTTTGTACTCTTTACAATAAGCTACTTCCTCTGTCCCATGGGAAAAATCCCTTATATTTTTGGATGAAGGTAGCATTTCATAAGGCAAAGTTTTCATCTCAGTTTTCACATTAAACTAAATCAGGTTGCTCAAGAGGTGATAAGTTTGGTTCGGACAGTACGGGTTTATGGAACAGAAAAGCAGGAGTTTAAAAGGCAATCTCTACCTCCCTCTCTCTCTCTCTCTATCTCAAACACGCTCATACATACACACAAAAACAAAATCTCACGATGCCTTGTACTCTGATAGATATGCAAAGTGGCTAGATAAGCTATATGATGTAAGCTTTCGGCAAACAATGGCTTATGGAGGCTGGAGCTTGAGTTTGAACTATCTATACCATTCTACTCAGGTAGTTTGATGTTTCTGTTCAATTCATAATGATACTCCAATCAGAACATATTTAAATTAGCAATTTTGTAAAATATAAAATGCCTGGTTCTGATATGAATTTGTTGTACCGTTGATGATGTATTCTTGCAAATAAGCTTTGTGTAGGTCATTGCAGTGTTGATTGGAGGGATATCCATCATGGCTGGGAAGCTAACTGCTGAGCAACTGACAAAATTCATACTCTATGCTGAGTGGCTAATTTTGTCAACATGGTGGATTGGAGACAACTGGTCCTCTCTGATGCAGTCTGTTGGAGCAAGTGAAAAGGTCTTCCGTTTGATGGATCTACTTCCTAGCAGACAGCTTAGTTCTGAAGGCAAGAAAATAAATTGCATGTTACAAGATACTGTTGTAACCTGATGTCTGATTTAGAATGGCTAGTTGATTTTTTTTTACTTGTGGTTGTAAAATTGTTTAGTGATCTAAAGTACGTCACCATTGCAGGCCACAGGTTACAGAAGTTGGAAGGCCGGATTCAGTATGCCGATGTATCATTTTCATATCCATCAAGACCTACGGTATGATTACAGTGCTTTTATGGATACTTCTCTGTTGAGGAGTGCCTGTTGTCACCCACCAAAAAGGGAAAAAAAGAATACCTGTTTATGATCCAGCTGATCTAACCATAATATTCATTTGACTTTTGACTGAAAACCAGTAGAGTGAACCCTAAAGCAGAACAATTTCATAATTATCATATTTGTTATGTAAATAAGAGGAATCTTCTGTTACCTTGTGTCCTTATATTATTGATCTCCTTTTTTTTAACAGGTACCAATTCTGGGTGGATTGAATCTAACACTTCATCCAAATGAAGTAGTTGCAATTGTAAGAGATAGAGAACACAGTTGCTTTCTAGTTCTCTCCCTATGTGTGTGTGTTGTGTAGAAGAACACAGTTGATTTAATTATTTCATACTTCTGAATTCTCATTTCTGACTAACAAACTGGCTGCATTTATATGAAACTTTTAAAGGTTGGTCTTAGTGGAAGTGGAAAGAGTACTGTAGTTAACCTACTACTTCGGCTATATGAACCTACAGATGGGCAAGTAAGATAATTTCTGCGTCAAACTATTGTCTGTGCCACATGACCGCATGCAGTCGCTTCAAAGCAAACCAGTTGGCTGGTCTGAAGTTATGTTTTGTGATCAATGCAGATATTAGTAGATGGTGTCCCACTCAGTGAGCTTGACATCAGATGGTTCAGGGAAAGGATTGGTTTTGTTGGACAGGTTCAGATCTAACTCAAGGCTCTGCTACCACTAGAACTTTTGTTGTATTAAATAGCCACATATATTGGTGTGTGCAGGAACCTAGGCTATTCCGAATGGATATTAGTTCTAATATTAGGTATGGTTGTCCAAGAGAAGTTAGCAATGAAGAAGTGGAGTGGGCTGCAAAGCAGGCATATGCTCACGATTTCATAATGTCTCTCCCTGATGGTTATAACACCATTGTCGATGATGCTCTTCTTAGTGGAGGCCAAAAGCAACGCGTTGCTATTGCGAGGGCCCTTCTTAGGGACCCATCCATCTTGGTATTAGATGAAGCCACTAGTGCACTTGATGCTGAGAGTGAACATTATGTGAAGGTAACCTCTTCATCAAGATATTTGACCAATTATGTACCTAGATATAAATACAATGTGCCTATGGGCGGCTTGCTGATTCGCTCCCTCCTGCTTTGCTAGAATGTAATCACAAAGTTTAGTACTGATCCTAAGGCTAGAAGAACCGTGATCATCATAGCTCACAGGTAATGTATGCTCATACTGCAGTTGTTTATTTTGAATTTTAAGATTTTAGTTGACACAATCATTTCTCTTGTAGACTATCTACAATTCAAGCGGCTGATAGAATTATCGTGATGGAAAATGGTAATATTGTGGAGGTATGTTTTCGGCCGCTGTTGCTTCACTGAAAACGCAAACCAGAACTAATCTGATCCTACTATACACATGATATGATGTCATTCAGATTTCTTAAAGTTCTTTTGTGTGGTATGCAGGATGGAAACCACAGCGAGCTTATTAATAAGCACGATGGTTTGTATTCCAGATTAGCTAGGCGACAAAACGACGCCCTCGATTAGTCCTGAATTCACAGAGATTGGTCTACTCCACACCATTTTTTTTCAAGTGGAACGGCAGGCAAGGAGAGTTCTTAGTAATTGGTGTATTCTTTACGAGTGACCCTGACCGTGGTGGCCAAACAGGTGAAACTGGATAGTTTACAAATGATGATAACTAATCAAACTAAGAAGTTGTTTCCCACCATAAAACGGGTCGGTAGTATGGAGGATCCGGGAACCTGTAACTGCAAATGATTCTTTACAGAAGTCAAATAGTTATACATGTCATCAGGCGCAACCTGTAATACAAATGTATAGGCATTCTGATCAGAGTCAAGACCATCGGAAATCATAACTTATATACTCTGCAGGGAAAGTTTACTCCAGTTTTGACAATTTGCATAGAGCATTACACTGTATACTTATTTCTCAAATTGTATACTTACAATTTGTATACCTGTGTGACCGTGTCACGATAAACAGACATTATTTTTCGAAGTTGCAGGTTGCAGCGAAGGTGTGTTTCCAGAACCATATGGTCTGATGAAATGGAGCACGCGAATGCCCCCGTGCAAAGTTTAATCATATCTAAATTCTGAAGTCACCGTTCGTGATATCATATGGGCCTCGGGATTAAGAGTGTTCATATTCTGCATATGGAACTCAATTTTTGCAAAAGGCATACTATGCATTTGCAGAATAAGATATTATTAATTCTATCATCAAACATACGTCTATTGAGAACACATCAGGGCATCATCATACAAGAAGGTGAGGTCCTACATTCTAGCTCCAGTATTCTTAACCCCCACAAAACTGAAATCGACTCGTCCCTCGTAACTCGAAGTTGCTCAAGAAAAATGGTCAGAATATCAAAGCGAAGGTGCTAAAATAAGGAACCTAAGCAACTTGTGACGCTTGAAAATTTTGTGATTCGGAATACTCCTCTTTGGATCGTCCTCTCAAGCAGTCTTCTGTTTCGCTGACGTGGAGGAAAGGTAAGATAGAGCCCTATGGCCCACAAACACAAGGAAGACACCAAGGAAGCTGAGGTACTTCAGGGTTGTGAAAAGATCCAGCTATTACAACAAGAATGAATGTCAGCGCCAGCAGAAACCTTTGTTAATGCAATTATGCTTTACCAACAATGAACGGTACTAACCTTAATCCAGAAGAGAACGTAGAGCAGCAGCACTGCTCCAATTCCAGCATGGAAAAGTGAGGCAAATGCTGCGGGTGCTGGCAAGGACGGGAAGTTCTTCAAGTTTACCCCGAGACGCATAAGCTGCAAACGAATGCCACAAGCATAGACAACATAAGAGTGACACGTTAGACTAAACAAAAAAAACTGCAAAGGAGAAATGAAGAAACACACATAGGAGTTGTTGACCCACCCCAATCAAGAACCCAACAATAGGCAGAAGCGTGAGGCCCGTAAACGCAAATGAGAGTTCCTTGGGTGGCCTCTTCTCTGGTGAACGGAATATGTGCGATATTTCCTTCTTCGGACCAAATTTTGAGAATGGATCAACAGCCTGGGCCGGAGGCTTTGGGGCTTTTTCTGGGGCCTCAGGCAGGTCCAATTCAATATGGCCAAGGGCTCGTAGAAATGAATTCTCCTGAGAACAAAAAGAAATCAGCAAGGGCAACAAAACGGGAATGAGAGTCCAGTAACATGGTTACATACCATTGCAGCATCACCAACTGCAAGCTCCAGGTCATATCTTCCAGAAAGGTAGTAGAATTTCTCCACCAAACCAAGAAAGTCCTATGACAAATTGAACAGACACGTAGGAACACTTGTTACTGACAAATCCCATGATATTATAATCTGTGGTAACATGAGAATGTCTTTGTATAGTAGCAAATACAGGCTGAATCCAAGAAAAATACAGGAAGATCCATCCCCGCTATATTATGTTGAAACATATATAAATAAATCAGTTGTTTATTTCAAGGCAAAATTTGCTACAGGACACTCGAAAATCGTGTAATTGGCTGTGAGACACCGCAAAATCTGGGCTTTGCCCACGGACACTATGAAAGTTGTGAAATTGGCTGTGAGACACTGGAGGCAATATTTTATAATTTCCGAGATAAAAGAGGTCAGATAATTTTCTAAAAGACCAATCTACCCCTGCGCAATTGGCATGCCGGCATGGCATGTGCGCACCGCGCCTCGCCGCGCACAGACGCGAATAGGGCCGTGCCTAGCGCGTTCCATACAGAGAAAATCTCTCGCTCGTCTTCTCCGCCTGCGCTCCATTACTGCCTTTGGCTGCTTCTTCCTCCTTGATCCTGCACGGTGACGATGCACCTACTGTTATAATCCACTCAGATGCTAATTGGTCTATGGCACCAGGAAATATTTGTCACCAAAGGACAACTTAATTAGTTGATTAACTGACGACTGTGCAGAGAACGTGCCCTTCATTTGGCAACTGAGATCCGCCGTCCGCCGCTATCGGCTTGAAACCGCCAGACCGCGCACTTGCCGTCAGGACTCGTCGGGTTTGCCACAGGGATCGATTTACTGCGTCATCATCACAGCTTCAGCGGCCGCCGTCGTCGCCGTCCTCAACACCGTCGCTGGCGCCGAAACTGCCTCCGCCGGTGCCGGCGGCGGTGCCGCCACCGCCGCCGGCACCGCCGTCGCCTAGGGTTAGGGTTCAGGACTGGGAAATCGGGTTGGGGAGGGAGATGGACAGCTGGGCGCAGGGGTAGATTGGTCTTTTAAAAAATTATCTGACCTCTTTTGCCTCAAAAATTATAAAATATTGCCTTCGGTGTCTCACAGCCAATTTCACAAATTTCGTAGTGTCCGTGGGCAAAGCCAAGATTTTGCGGTGTCTCACAGCCAATTACACGATTTTCGGGTGTCCTATAGCAAATTTTGCCTTATTTCAATGTATATGCTATGCACATGGTAGTCTTTTTCTTCAAATCTCAACTTTCACCAACAGTGTTCATATAAATATGGCTGACATCAAATTCAAATGGTGCTGGTGGCCATGTGTTCTAAAGCAAACCAAGCTACATAGCCTAGCTATTCCTTTCCACATTGAGAAACTGCTCTGTATATAACTAGTCTCTGGATAATGTAATGCATGGACAGGAAACTGATGATGACGTAGCACTCGAAAACATAGAACAAGCTGAAAAAGATGAGTGTAACTAACTGGGGGATGGGGTACTCAACTAGAACAATTTTAAACTGCCTTGCAGAGCCTGGTACAACAAATAAATGCTCAACCTTGCTTTCATCATGCTTTAACTTGAGGAACACCTGAAAATTGATTTGCTCAATGAAGTCAGGGAAAGAACCATAGTGTTCCACTGGGAAAAAAAGGGTTAAATTCTAGAGCAACCTGGTGAGGTTTAAATGTCTTCCCGAGTGGTGTACTCAGTTGAAAAGATAACCGCAACTTCTGCAGATGGTTTGCAGAAAGAGAAACACTAGTATCTTTCTGCAGATCTATCCTGAAATGAAGAAGCTTGAAATATGAGACATATAAAGCAGGCTTTCCCGCTTCACAATTTTCATGCAATTTTATATTAACTAAATCAGAATATTAAATAGATTCACAATCACAAAACAACAAAAGTAAACAAGTTAAAAATAGCAGGAAAATCTCCAGACATATATCAGGGAAATGAAAAATAAAAACTAAGTAATTTTGTAGCACTTGTCTGCTATTCCAGATGAGAATGGAACTCTTTCAGTGGCTATATACTTAAGAAAGCAGATGAAATTTCTTCAGTACAAGGTTGGCAGCTTGTCTTTTTTTAATGTAGCTCTAACTTTTTTTCTCTCTTTCTTTTTTTTTAAAAAAAAATGGAAGGGAATCACATCGTTAAACAATTTACTTTTGAACAGACTCCACAGTCCCAGCATCATTATCAGAAATTCCGATTTCTGCCTTATCAACTTTGATCAATCCTGTGACAAAGATCGCCTCAGTATTTGTCCCTCCAGTAGCATAAATAGTTTCATGTTCTTGTTCCTGAAGAGAAATCTGGCGAGAAAAAAAAAAGGCTTGTCAATTACTATTATCATAACACAAACAAACTAATACACTTTACACATACCTCAAAAACAAGCGAGTACTTCCCAACATCTATTTTCAATGGAGCAATATCCAGGTAATGAACATTGTTATCAAGGTCAAACTGAAGTTCCTGATATCAGAAGTAAAAGGGTTTTAGAGGATGGCAGCTGGGAAAAAGACAGGCATAGAGGAAGTTCCAAGAGGTAGCCACTAATCTTGATTCTACCTTGGTTTCAGTAGTGATGACCTTAGAGTCAGAGCCCAGCACTTGTACAAGATTCACTCTGAGAGGAGGTGCAGCAGATCCAAATACTGTGGTGACTTCAACCTGAAAATGCCAAGTATTTACAAACTGGAGTTAACTTATATGGACTAAAACATTACAAAAAAAGGAAATCGATGAGAAACTATTGTAGATAAGGTATACTTTATACTAACTGTAGACATAATCGAGTAATAAGAAAAATCTAGGTGTAGAATATAATCTAGAAGGACAACTGAAAATGGCATGTGAGTTACTATAACAGCTTTGCTGGTTCAAACTTAAAATATGATATGAGTTAGGAATTAAAATTTTACAATTAAATGCAGTGCTTGCAAGTTGAATAATATGGGATTTCTCCCATCATAACAGTCACTTTTGCAGTGTTCATATAAATGTCAATTCATCACAGCACATATCAATCGAATGCTCATTCATACAGAGATTCACACTCAATCCTAGTAAAAATTTTATACATCTGGCAAAATCCAATATATTAGCAAGTACTAATCACCTTAAGCTGGTCTTTGGAGGTCAGCGAAAATACTTTGGAAGGAAGTGAAAGGACCAGAGGAACAAATACCCTGCAAATTGTAGATAAGAAATAAGCACAAAAGGCTAACAGTGCACTAAGAAACATTTACATTTTTGAAAATATATTAAGAAAAGGGCAGAAAGAGGTGTCACTCAATATATTACAAAAAAGAATAAAAGATGCATGCCAATTGAAGAAAACAAATAAATAATGACTTGCCTATTGTTTTCCAAGAATGATAATGACTCAATCTGGTTAAAGCAATCCTTTGCGCTACCTGGTAGCCCTATACCAAGAAAAAACTTCGCCAAACCCAGTATTTTCTCACCAGGGATCTGTAGATTAAGTGCAGCTACTTAACAAAAGCTTTTACACATAAATTTATTGAATGATTATTACAAGATTGATGCAAGAAAGCTCACATTCAATTTCCCAGAAGCAACAGCTGCAAAAGAGGTGACACCCCTTACTACTGAAGCAGATGTTGTTATAGGGCCCTTGTATTCGGCAGCATCAACATGCTTCTCGTCAAAGTAAAATGTCCCATCATCTGCAAATATACCATTAGAAAGTATTCATTCATTATATTTTGTATTTGTAGGTGGGATGATTCCTACTAATCTTTCAAAGTAGGCAAGGTAAATTTCCTCACTTACTACGCATAAAATCAAAATATGAAAAATAAATTGTACTGGCTACTGTCACTTATCTAAATCTCATAGGTTTTGTAATTTGGAAGCTGATACCATCAGGGTAACTTTGCAGCACAAACAAAAGGTTATAGAACATACCATAGCTCTTGATCGTGTCAAATAGCTTCACAATGTCATTTTTCACCACAGCTATCTGTTGTCATGATATTTTAATAGAAGAAACAGGAATCAGTACAAATTTGCAACACCATGCTAACAGGCAATGACACATACGAATGAAGAGCACCAACAAATTGTATGAAGCAGTGCTACACAAAAGATAACACATAATCACTAAAATAAACTATGAAAGTCATGGTACATAGAATGCCATAGTGGCATGGTTGAATCTCTTTTAAAATCACAGACAAGGTTGATATATGTTCAAGGTTTCAGATGAAAGATTGTCGCACCTAAAGGAGGATAGTTGGGGAGATACAACATTACCAGATTGTTGTTTTCTTGTGAAATTAAGCACTTCAAACTTTAATGAACTTGTATTATGATATTTAGCTATCTATGGTCATCGATACTTCTTTATCAGTTACAGAGGTAATATAATCTATAAGATGAGTGCTATATATGTTCTCCATCCATTCAAAGCCACTTCCCTATTCATGGTTTTATAACATAATTTACACCATATGAAATTACTGGTACTTTATTATTTAGGTCAAAGGAAGAAAAATCATATAGCTATTGCAAATCAAGTATATATACTAGATACTCAAGTAGAGAGGATGCACACACCATGGATGAGTCAACTTCCGAATCTGCCAGTGAAATAACTGCAGACAATGCTTCTAGTGCGATACCTGTAGAAATACATTATGTTAAATATCAGTAACAAAAAATATGCAACCCAATTGCAGTAAAGATCTTCCCATTAAGTGGTGAATGGTGGTATAGAAAGCTTCACAGAGATAGAGGCACTGATTACTAATCCACTATTCAACCCTATAATAACTTAAATGAGTCTCAAGAAATTAAACAGTGAACAGCAATAAGCACACCCTCTAATACAAGGTCAGATCAACATTAAATTTATGTTTACAGGTGCCAGAAATATTTTAAGTGTTACAATTTAATAATAACTGTTACCAGCAGCAAACGTGCTCGATTCAGCGCTGTTAGTGTCATAACGCCATCTTCCGTCACTTTGGCTAAGTGCCTAAACGAACAAAGACACATCTCAGCAACTCTAATTTTAAAATAAAATTCTGATGTAAATTGCAGAATGTAAACAAGAGAAAAAAACGCAAAGCTATAATGAACTGTTGTCACCTTAATTGCGTGAAATGTGTTATCTGCATCAGGTAAAACAACATTGTGGCCTTGTTCCTGAAGCAAACAATGCAAATTCATTAATGGACAGAAAAGATCAACCAACTATCAACAAGTGGAGATGAGCAAATCAAACAAACAAGTATAAACTAGTAGTGAATTCAGCGGAGTAACCTTGATGCTGAGCAACCCTCCCACAGAATAGTAGAGTTCCAGCAGCGAGTTAGTGTCCTTGATCACAGCCTTAAGCCTCGTAGCGACATCCTAACACCAATAACACAAGTGTCACCATGCCATCAAACAAGAAAACCCCATTGGCATCAACAAGATCTGTTAAGCTAAGCTAAGACCCACATCGTAAACTCCGGAATCAACACTGCACTTGAGGACGCCGCTGATCCGGGCCGCGTGGAACAGATCCTTCGCGGGCGACGATGACGAGGAGGCCAGCTTCTCGGCGGCGAACTTGCACGCCTTACCAATCAAGCCCTTGTCCTTCTCCACCCCGAGTATCTGGAACGTCCTGACCGCCTCATACGTCGTCTCCAAACTGCGCGAATGAACAGACCAAAACGCAAGTAAGCATCCATAATTCTCAAGCAGGGAGCCCCGCCTCGGATCGATCTGGAGCTGAGCTCGGTGGCGCGCGCGCAACTGCGCCCGGCGTGGGACAAGCACTCGAGATCGGGACACTGTCGACTTACTCGCCGAAGGATCCGTCGGGGGAAGCGGCGAAGAGCTCGGCGGCAGCGGATCTGTGGGCGTCGGAAACCGGGCGGACGGCGGAGGCGAGGGGAGCGACGGCCACGGCGGCGATGACGAGGAGGAGGAGGGTGGCCGAGGCTGGGAGACCCCCGGCGGCGGCCATGGCCGCGGCGGCGGCGGGTGGCGCGGCCGGCGAGAGGAGAGGGGGGGAGGGTGTGTAGGGTTTAGGAGACTGGGTGCGTGGGAGTGGCCAGATCTGATGAGAGGTTGAGGGAGGGAGACGACTAGAAATATTTTCGCTCGCCCCCCGGTCAGCAGCCGCCTCGACGTCTGGACTCCGGCCTCCGGGGAGGAGGAGAATGCTTTGAGATTGGTGCTCTGGTTTAGCTTTGAGAGCAGGTACAATAGAGTTATAAACCAGCTATAATCATATATCGAGAAGAAGAGAGAAGAGAGAGAAGAAAGCGGACTACAGATTTGTAGCCGGCTACAACACGGATTCCAAGACGTTACGTGTGTATGAGAGGTGGGACCGGGTATTAATGATGTAGTATATTTTTATAGTTAACTATTATATAAATGGGCTAGTATTAATGATGTAGTATATTTTTATAGTTAACTATTATATAAATGGGCTATTATATTAGCTATAGATGATTTGGAGCCAACAGTTAGCTATACTATTAAACTTGCTCTCCTGTTTGGGCCAATCTTTTCACTTATGCTTATATTTATTAGTCAAAATTTGAATTTTCAATATTAAATTTTGAGGTTATTTTATTAAAGTTTACTTTTTAGTATTTACTTTTATATCACTAAGAACACGTATATAAAATTTTTATTCACAAATTACTATTCGTTTGTAAATATATCGTTTGGCTTATTCCGCGAATAAACGAAACGAAGGGTCCGTTAGTCTCTGCCATTTGCATGATTTTCAATTTGTTTTTCCTGATCTTTCATTTTATTTATACGAGCGAATTACACTATAGCTAGTTTTTATTACTCATGTTACGTGATGGACCATGTTTCTACTAGGTTTTTCACTTAACAGCATATAAGATTACACTTGTTTGCAGCTTGGACCAGGGTATAGCGATATGGGCTTTTGGCTACCAGCCTAGCTCAAAATCATGCTCGGAGCAAAAGAGTGAACATGATCTCGTAGAGTGCATTTAAGGTTCACGTTGACAATGCCGAAACAGATGGTGCCTTTGGCGTGAGTTGTAGACTGGTATTTAACCCCTCACCGATGTGGTGCCACCGTGCAGGGTGCCATCCACTTCTCGGCATTCGGACACATCCAAACGACACTGGTTTCTTCTGCTAGCGAGCTGCATCATGAAACTAAAGGTCAGACACCCACAAAGGAAGTGAGGATGTGTACTTTATGCATCTGTGCTATATACTAGACATCTTTGTTCCTAGCACCCGCTGCTTCAATTCAAATAAAAATACCATCACATATCTCCTAGTAACATGCCAACGGTTATTGGAGGTTGGGGCAACAACTTAGCATGCAGATATGAAGCCATTTACTCATCCAAAATGTATGTTGGCTACAGCCTCCTCTGCTAACTTCACTAGCGCTGCCAATCCCATCTTTCGTGTGCGTGATGTTCGAGACTCGAGTTTAGCGCATATGTCTCACGTTGGACCAAAGCCAGCGTGAAAGTTCAATTCTCTTAGCCTTTATTGTCCCCTATTTTCAATTGCGGTAAACATAAAACAACCTATTAAAAAATTTCAAGGTCATCCGAAAGCTTTTTATCATTTGAAACGCAGAAATCTTATACAAAGAAAAACTATATATTTCCTTCGAGATTCTTGTGAAATGCCTCCGATGAGACCTCAAACTTGTCTACTATTCTCCTGGGCCACTATGCCGAGTATTTGTAGCTCGAGGACTACCAGGCCATCCAGAGCCCAAGCAATGGCCGCGTACAGTGAAAGGAATAAGTTCACTTCGTAACCCTCAAAAGTGATCGAAATTTAATCCGTGACCCTAAACCACAAAACCGGATATCTTGACCCCAAACTCTTGAAACCGGTGCAATTTGACTCTCTCGGTGGTTTTAGAGGGCAGTTTCACACTGACGTGGCGCCTACGTGGCGATATTGACCGAGTCTTCGTTAGTACGTGGCGTTGACGTGGCACTTACGTGGCAGTCGAATTAAAAAATATGAGTAGGACCCATTAGTCATTCAAAAAAAATGTGGGCCCACTGACATGTGGGGCCCCTCCTTCCTTCTACCTCCTCCTTCTCTCCCTTCTCTCTCTCCCCTTCGGCCGGGCAGGAGGGCAGCGAGAGCGAGCGGCGGCGGGCGGCGAGGCCGGAGCTGCGGCGGCGGGCGAGGGCAGGCGGTGATTGGCCATCTCCGGCGCCCTCGACGGCGACGAAGGCTAGGCGAGGCGACGCGGATCGAACACCAGCGCAGCTCCAGAGTTGTTTCCTTGTCGCGATCTCGTTTGTTCGTATCCTTTGCTCTACCTCTCGAATTCGTGTTGTTTGCTTGTCGTGATCTCGTTTTTGTTCTTGCTAGTGGCGATCCGTTCTTCTCCCTCTGTTTCTTCCTTGACTTCTCGCCGGCGGCGTGGTGTGCACGCGGCAACCAGAGGAACCGCGACCGCGAGCGCGCGCAGGCGCGGAAGCCCAACGCCAAGGACCCCCAGGACGGGCTCACCTCGGAGCAGCGCCGCGAGAGGTCTGTTTGCTCGGTGTCTCCCGATTCGATCTCCCTTGTCCCCGGCCTGACGCGGGGTTCCAATCTGCGGGTTCTTAGATCTTCGAGTTTGGATTTGACGCAGGGATAAGAAGGCACTTGAGGAGAAGGCCGCCAAGAAGGCGGCGCAGGCCGCGGGCGGCGGCGGCGGTACCTCCACGGACAACAGGAGTAAGGCCGGCGGTGCAAAGAAGTAGCCGGCACCGCCGTTTGTACGATTAGTAATGCCTTATAAGCTTTGTACCTCATGCATCTGCGGATTCCGGGCTCCCCCGCCTCGCCTCGACCTGGCTCCCCCCTTGCCGGAGACGACGACCTCGCCGCCGACGACACGGATGGCGGATTGCTCGAGCTCCCCTTGGATTTTCTCTCTCTACCTTGGAGCCCTCGCCTGCCGCCGCAGCTCCGGCCTCGCCGCCCGCCGCCGCTCGCTCTCGCTGCCCTCCCGCCCGTTGGCCGAAGGGGAAGAAGGGGGGAGAGAGAGAAGGGAGAGAGGGAGGAGGAAGGAGGACTGACATGTGGGCCCCACATGTCAGTGGGCCCACATTCTTTTTGTGTGAATGACTAATGGGTCCCACTCATATTTTTTAATTCAACTGCCACGTAAGTGCCACGTCAAAGCCACGTACAACGAAGACTCGGTCAATATCGCCACGTAGGCGCCACGTCAGCGAAACCGCTCTCCAAAACCGCCCAGGGAGTCAAATTGAATCGGTTTTAAGAGTTTGGGGGTTAAGATATTTGGTTTTGTGGTTTAGGGCCACGGATAAGATTTCGATACCTTTTGAGGGTCGCAAAGTGAACTTATTCCTACAGTGAAAGGGAGATGCGGCCCATTACGAGTTTACGACATGGCCCAATCACACGCGGGGAAAGTTGCGTGAGGGACTTCTCATGCGTACGAGCCGCGTCGCGTCTCCCCCCCCCTCCCCCAAGGACCATGACACGTGGGCCATAGCAACCGACCTAGCCCGGCCCCACACGCTTCGCATCCTTACCCATCAAAACCAAACCACGGGCCTCCTCACCCCGCCGCACGCCGCCTTCCTCCCAGATCCAAACCTCCCTCGTCGTCTCCCCTTCCCCTCCTCCTCCTCGACCCCCACGGCGGCGGCGCCACCGGACTCCGGCGAACCCTCGCGCGCGCGCGCACGCACCGAGACGTACCGTACCGGCGACATGAATCCCTACGACCTCCGCTACGCCGACCCTTCCTCCTACCGCGACAGGCGCAGGTACGCTAACCCTAACCCTAACCCTAGCTTAGCTCACGGCTCGATGTGGATCTGCGTTGAGATGGGACTGAATCGATTGGTTTGGTTGTTCCGTGCAGCGACCTTGCCGGGGCTCCCGTGCTCGCCGCGTCGGCCCCCGCGGCCGCCAACCCCTACGCCGCCGCGTACGCGCCCGCGCCGGCTGCTCCCGTGGCCCCCGCTGGTGGCGACTTCTCGCGCTTCGGCGGGAGAGGCCGTGGTGGAGGCGCGGGCGGCGGTGGGTGGGGTAGAGGTGGTGGTGGTGGTGGTGGCGCTGGCGGATACCGAGGCGGCGGTGGGAGAGGAGGTGGAAGGGACGCGCTGGACTCGCTCTCCTTGCCGAAGCCTGACTTCCGGAGCCTTATACCCTTCGAGAAGAACTTCTATGTGGAGTGCCCCGCCGTGCAGGCCATGTCAGACATGGATGTGTCGCAGTATCGTCGCCAGCGTGATATCACTGTTGAAGGCCACGACGTGCCCAAGCCGGTTCGCTACTTCCAGGAGGCCAACTTCCCAGGTTTGCTATTTCAAATCGGGGTTCTGTTAACTGTTATAGCAATCTGTATCTCTGGATAATACGGCAACATGTCTTGGATGAAATAATCGTTCTATTTTTTTTTCATTTTTTAACAGATTACTGTATGCAAGCAATAGCCAAGAGTGGATTCGTAGAGCCCACGCCTATTCAGTCACAAGGTTGGCCAATGGCTTTGAAGGGCAGGGACATGATCGGTATCGCACAAACTGGCTCTGGGAAAACACTATCTTACCTTCTCCCTGGGTTGGTTCATGTTGGTGCACAGCCTCGACTAGGTTTGTTTCTGTTACGGAATTGATGTACGTGCTCTCTATTTTAAATTGTCAATTGAATGAATGCATTGTAACGGGTGCAGAACAAGGTGATGGCCCAATTGTTCTGATCCTTGCTCCTACAAGAGAACTGGCTGTTCAAATACAACAAGAATCTGGCAAATTTGGATCATACTCAAGAACTAGAAGCACTTGTATCTATGGTGGAGCACCTAAGGGACCACAAATACGTGACCTTAGGAGAGGTATTTGTCCCATCTTACCGAAAATAATTTTGGACATAAGGTTTTGTAGGCTAAGTCTCTTGCGTCTACTTCCAGGGGTTGAGATTGTCATTGCAACACCTGGTCGGTTGATCGATATGCTGGAAGGTGGTCACACTAACCTGCGAAGAGTAACATACCTCGTCCTGGATGAGGCTGACCGCATGCTTGACATGGGTTTTGAGCCCCAGATTCGTAAAATAGTGGCACAGGCATGGCTTGTTTTAGAATGCTTATATCAGTTCTGGTGTTTTGGCTAACTCTCCATTTTTTCTATTGTGCTAAACGTTTTTGTTGTTAATAGATCCGGCCAGACAGGCAAACCTTGTATTGGAGTGCCACTTGGCCAAGAGAAGTAGAATCCTTGGCTAGACAATTTCTGCAGAACCCATACAAGGTGCGAATAACTTGTGCCATCGCCATGCCATCTTTTGAAAAGTATTTTTGTGTTCTATTATTTTCTTTCTTGGTACTAACATTTTGCACATGTCGTAACTCAGGTAATCATAGGATCACCTGATCTGAAAGCTAATCATTCCATACAGCAAATTATTGAGGTCATATCTGAACACGAAAAGTATCCCAGGTATCTACTAATAACACTATTATTTACAAAGTTGTACCATGAGCTGTTCCTCCAACTAAAAATTTCCATGAGTTAAGTTAATGTTAACTTGTTTCTTACAGACTCAGTAAACTTTTATCTGATCTAATGGATGGAAGCAGAATCTTGATATTTTTCCAAACTAAAAAGGACTGTGACAAGGTCACTCGTCAACTTAGAATGGATGGATGGCCAGCATTATCTATTCATGGTGACAAAGCTCAAGCAGAAAGGGACTATGTTCTGGCAGAGTTCAAGAGTGGGAAAAGTCCTATAATGGCTGCCACAGATGTAGCGGCACGTGGTCTTGGTATGGTGACTTGTTTGAAAATTAGAATTAGGTTGTAGTTCCAAGTGCTCAAGGATGATAAGTCGGAGGGCTGTCAGCTGTTTTTGGTTGAGTGAACTGAACTTGTGGATTGATGGTGTATGCAAGGTGCCATCATGTCAGAGGTAGATCGTCTTTTCTCCTGTTTATTTCCCTCGAGAGTAAGCGATGGCAGTGTTACCAGGGCACTTCAACCTAATGTTGACATTTAGTCTTGGTTAGGAATTATTTGAAAATTACTTGGCTTTTGGTCTTTCACTCTTAGGGGAACTTATCTTCAGGTAGAAATATAGAATCGATGAGAGTCTATGGCCATTATCATTAGCACTATTTTTTTTTTCATCTGTTGACCTCTAAATTTGTTTTGTATTTTTATGTTTGAAAATTTAGAGCTCTAGGTGCTTTCGCTTTCAGGCCTGTTAATTTTCCTGCGCTAAAATTCATATGGTTATATGAATCTATTCTCTCCTCAAGGAATTACTTTCTTTTGCATCTTTAGTTATTTATTATTCATGTGTTACTTAGTTCCCTTTTTGCTGTGGACTTGTGATCTCGTAGATCTATGTGTGGCTTAACAACAATTTCAGCTCGCATGCATGCATACATGAAAATGTCTACTAATTATTATTTGTCTAAGTCACTAGTGTAAATTCAACTAAATTTACAAATGAAGTAATTTAGAAGTGTGGATCTCGCTGTTATGCTTTCCCTTGTTTTCCATGAATTTTTAGAAGTTTATATGCTGCTATTTTAAACGTGTGCCCTGGTCTTATCACTGCCAACTGGTCCCAAGATGTTTGTAGAGCTATTGCCTACTACTGTATTGTTCTTGACAGTGTGAAGTGTGATCCTCATATTGACCTCTGATGCAGCACCTTAAGCATTGCAGCCTGTGTTGGAATTGGTTACAGATTTTCATTGGGTTCATTTGGATAGTTATGGATACTGGTATGTTATTGGATAACTTTCAGTATTGTGAGTTAAGGCTGACAGATCAATCACCATCATATCCACATCCAACAGTTATTGATGCCCAGTTCAGTTTTTCAGCCCCTTCGACTTGTATTAGTTGTAGAACTTGAAAGTGCATCCATGGGCAGTTTTTGTTCTTCGGCTCTGGTTCAAGCCATGCGCTGACTTCTATGGAGATCGACAATGTTGATATCCCAGTTTGGTCTGCTGTGGTCTTCAGGGCAAAAGTATTATCTTGATTACATACTCATCATTTTCTTGTTATTTTTGCAGATGTCAAGGATATTAAGTGTGTGATAAATTTTGATTTTCCAACAACTCTTGAAGATTATATTCACAGAATAGGTCGAACTGGCCGCGCTGGTGCTAGTGGAACTGCATTCACCTTTTTCACACTCTCCAATGCAAAATTCTCCAGGAATCTTGTTAAGATCTTGAGGGAAGCTGGCCAGGTTGTGAATCCAGCGCTAGAATCTATGGCTAAATCTGCCAGTTCTATGGGAGGTAGGTGCCTCTCTATTTCAGTTTTTCTTTTGGATAGTATTATGTTATTTCCTTATTTTCTAATCGATTTGTATCTGTGTTTAGGAGGCAATTTCCGGTCAAGGGGGCGTGGTGGGTTTGGTAACAGATCTGGCTCAAATAGCATTCCCATAAGAGGAAGAAGGCCATACTGAGGGCGGCAAAAAGATTAAAACTTTTACTGTATACCGATAGGTATTAAATGCATTCTTTGGTAAATTTCCTTTGAGATTCCCTCGACTGCTTGATTGACATAAGTCAATTTTCATTGATTGGAGGTGGAACATGTCACACGAATGGCCAAATATACTTATCCAACAGCGTAGGATATGTGTTCCAAGTTTAGCTTCGACTTGGAGAATGGTTTGTCCAGTGTTATTTTGACTATTGAGGCAACGTCCTCGTGCGGTACTGGTTATTGTTTACTATTGTTGGGTTACTTGAAAGAACAGTTTGCTCCATTTGTTATCTTTTTAGTATCCGGGTTATTGTTTACTATTGTTGGGTTACTTGAAAGAACAGTTTGCTCCATTTGTTATCTTTTTAGTATCCGGTATTATTTGTGCTATTGCTATTCATTTTTTGGAGCAACTTGAGTTGCGAATGATAGGGAGGCTGTTTCAGTTGATCTATGGTGCTATTCAACGGTAGTGCTTCATGCAACAACCTTTACACTGATATATAACTTTGAGAGATGTGAACGTTAGTGGTGCATGTGGAAAAAGGAGCGGGGAAGATGTATACCATTTTCTCTCTTTGCTTGACAATTTGGAAGTTATTAACGTCCTTGGTTAACTTTGAACGATAAAAGTACGATAGCAATTTTAAAAACGTACTCTCTCCGTTTCAAAATATATGCATTCTCCGTTTCAACGTTTCAAAATATATGCATTCTCTGTTTCAAAATATAAGCATTCTCTGTTTTAAAATATAAGCATTTTCAGTATAGTGTCAAATCAAACATTTTTAACTGAAAAAAACAAAAAAAATTAATCATGTAAAATTGATATCACTGGATTTGTTATTAAACAAACTATTATACTATTTTTTGTTTAAAATATATTACTTTTATATATATATTGTTGGTTAAAGTAGTAACTCGGAGACCGTGTTAGAGTGGACGGATTGATGTTTCTAAAGGAAACTGAACCGGATATGTCGAGACGAAACATAACACATGAATATACGATTTTTTCTTTTTGAAAAACTGCTGCTATAGTAAAAGAGAACTGCAGAGTAAGAGTGCTCGTTCAAAGAATTCAGGGAGGACTTCTTTAATATTTAAATCCTATAAAAAATTTGTCCTATTCGATTCTTTGAAATGAAGGACTGAAACTTTTAAACCCTATGAAATTTCTGACAAATAAACATCAATTTTAGAGGAAATTTAGCGACAACTAAACTCTTTTGAATTTTTTAAATCTATTATTTTATCCAATTTATATATTTTTCATGTGATCTATTGAAACGATCATTTCTGCTTTTTAAATTCTACTATTTACGCTTACATTTTTTTTTTCAATCCTAGGATGATCGAGGGGTTACTGGGCTTACAGGCCCATTCGGTAGCTCTAAACAAAGTAGCCCAGGAAGCCTAGGTGGCCCAATAGCAACAAAACGGCAAAGCCCTAGCCTCTTAACAGGTCCAGCGCGCGCGAGCATCCTCACCCGCCGCCGCCGCCGTCGTCCACACGACCTCACCGCCGCCTCCTCTCCGCTCTCCGGCCGCCGGTCGCTCCGCCAACCCGACCCTCTCCCCTTCGTGGTGGAGCCAACCTTAACCATCCTACTCCGCGCGGGGCGAAGGCGTCCGGCGGTTGCAGGAGCCCGATGGACAGTGGCGGCACTGCCAGTCCTGCCGGCGTCGCCGGCGACGGCGCTGGTGGCCGGGGTTCGGTCTTCCGCGGAGATGACGCGCCGAAGCTGCTCGCCGCGTTGAAGGAGATGAAAGAAGGGCTCGACCTCGTCACCGGCAAGGTCAAGGCGCTCACCCGCAAGGTACTCCCACTTTCCCCTCCTCCTCGTGAGTTGCCCCATCTCTCCCGCTTCTTGGCAAGATGACAGCGAGCTTCATTCCGCGTTTGATGTGTGGGTAGGTCAAGAAGAACCAGCTGCCGACGGCGGATGGGATTGGGTACCTGGAGGCAAAGCACCACCTGCTGCTGAGCTACTGCCAGGACATCGTCTACTATCTCCTCCGCAAGGCGAAGGGGCTCTCGGTGGAAGGTCACCCCGTCGTGCGGAGCCTTGTCGAGATCAGGCTGTTCTTGGAGAAGGTGTGCCAGAGCCCTCCTGTACTGATTTTTAAGTTTCATGGCTCAATTTTTGTTGGCTAACATTGGAGGGTGCTGTGTTGAATTGGATGGATTTTAGATTCGTCCCATAGACAAGAAGATGGAGTACCAAATCCAGAAGCTCACCAACGCCGCGGATAGCGGAGCTGCCCAGGAGAAGGTGCTAAATGCAGAAGCAAAGAGTAAGGATCAGCCTAAGGATGATGAAGACCTACTGAAGTATCGGCCGAACCCTGATATGATGGACTCTAAGATCGATCCTGCGGGGCAGGTTGTTCATCTCCCCTTCCACTCCACAAACAATTTCACTGTTTATTTTTTAATTTTCACTTGCTAAGTGGTCAGATTTGTTCTTGTGTGCACCTGAAATTACCTACCTTCTCGAAATTGTAGAAATTGTATTCGTTGATTTTTTTTTCTTTTTTTGGATATCATTAAATCAAACTTGACATCTAGCTGGTACTTTAGCCCAACGATGAACCAATAGTTCTTAAGTAATTGTCAGCTAGGCTAAGCCTGGCCATGCTTCTTTCGTGTGTTTTTGTAGTATAGTCCTCGTCTGGAATTAAAATTAACTACTATTAGTCCACACCTTGGTAGAATTATGATATATGGATACTTATGATGTAGTATTTCTTGACTTAATTTATAAAATGGTGATTTATTTATCTTGTTTTTTATATCAGCGTTGGCTTAATTCTAATGCTTGCTTCTATGGACATACTAATCGCAGTTAAATATTTTCTTATTTCTTTCATATTTGGAATTACTTGAGAATATATGAGTGCACTATATCCGTTGACACTGAACTGTTTATCTGTTTGTTAGAGCATTATTGATCATTTTTTAGTTAGTTTGACATGTTCATACAATTATTTTTGCTGATGTACATCCCTGACTTCAGGACAACGATGGCATCTATCGTCCACCAAAATTTATTGCTGCTACCATGGATGATGAGGATAAGCGCCATAAACAAGCTTCAAGGAAAGACAAAACATTAGCGCGAATGGCTACAGAAAGCTCTTACTTCAAAGAGATTATTGATGACGCTGCTGATAGACCTGAAGAGGTTTGCCAGTTATTTCATTTGATGCACTAGCAATTTGATTAGATGTATAGTTATATGATTAGTGTTCTATGTCCACCTGAATAATCATCTGTATTATTTTGCAGTTAAAGGAAACAGCAGGTGATGAAAGCAGGGAATTTACAAGGTATATGCGGCAGAGAGAGTTGCAAGAGAAACAAGAAGAGGAGCTGTTCACTCGAGCTCCGCTGACAAAACGTGATAAGCAGACGGAGAAGTGGATGAGAAAAGAGCTTCACGGGTATGTGGAGCTGATCTTCTGCTACTATCCATTATAAAATACGTAAAATTATGTGCAAGTATAGCTTAAAGCTGAGGTTGTCCGTTGGGATTTCCAATATACCCAACCTGTGTATGTAACTGATCTTATTTTGAAAAACAAAACAGGCTACGGGGCCTAACAGATGGATTCGATCTTGGAATTAACATGTTCGTCGATGGAGACAAGGATAATGATGTCGGTTCAACCGAACCCCATTTCAAGAGCGGAGGTCGGAGAAAACACCATAAAGGCAAGAGGAAGAGGCATTAGTGAACCCACAGATGGCGTTTCACACAGCAATGTCACATTCAAAACCAAAATTTTGATCTGTGCGAATTGAGTAGTATAAATGAGTGATTTTCTTCGGCATGAGAGCCATGTTGGTTAGAATCAGCAGGTTTTGTGCATCTATCTGTCAACTTGTTCTTCAGTACGCGGTTAAAAGATATTGATCGTCGATACTTAAGTCAATTGGTAATCTGTCGTTATGATTTTGTTTGTAATCCTGTGACTCATGATCATGCCAATTGCCAGATAGTGTTTCCGGAATCCTCCTGTACCACATTCTTGAATAACCGCTTGGTTTAAAACCAACGGCGGCTGGTCAGAAAATGACTGCTGTGAATGATTTCTTCTTCCTTTTTTATGGATGCTGGAAGGAATCTGAAATGGGCGATGCATCGCATAACTGATCACATACACGTCTGGATGTGTTCACCATTTCCAAACTTTGGTTCCTCTTTTCTCCCATCACACCTGCGAGCATCTTGAGGTCACCATCCCAAGTGCAGTAATAATGCGGTGCAGGGCGGAACGCAAGTATATATTCCCACTAACACAAAGGTAGTACAAAGGATGAGTATATTCTTCTTACCCGACCGGTGACTTATTTCGAATGTGACCTGCAAATCTCGATAAGTTCATTTACCAGCGGTAACATGGAAATGCAATTTTGCATCAGGTTAAAAGGCAGCTTAGCTAAGCCACATGAAATGGAAAATGCTTACATGACAATAGTTTTTTAGCTAGTAACAAAAGGGTTAATTAAACACCAGGGTTCTATTTCAGCTATTTTGAGAACCAAACAGAGATGCCCGTTGTATTATGATTAATTGGACCAATTGGTTTCGATGGAATATTTTATTGTTCTCTAACAATTCATCCATTGTACCTTTATTATCAAACCTAACTAATATACTTCCCAAAAAAAACCCTAATAAAAGTATGTTTTGTTTTAGAAACTAATGAATGAATAAACATATTATATATTACCTCTGCCTGCATGGTCCATGTACCATGTTCAAGATTGGCTTTCTCCATTTCCTCTATTTTAGCACGAATCTTCAGGCGCGCCTTCTCGTGAGTTGATACTCTGAAATCTGAACATATGTACACGACAGAAGTACAGAACACTTGCTTGCACAGATCCATGATTGGCTGGTTAAAACTCAAAATCACCCACCATTCCTCATGAAAAACATCCTCATTAACGGCAGATTAATACTATTTAGTCCATCTTATCTCTCTCTTGTCCAATTACAGTTCACCCAGCCGCCGCAGAGGTATCATCCTGGCCGATAAATCAATAATATTCCAAATACTTCCAGATGAACACCAAAAAGCGAAGCTGAAAGCCCGAAAAGCACAAAGCCTGTGTGAGCCTGTGCAGTGTGCACACATGCACCTCTCTCACGAACCAGATTCCCTAACCACACCTCCACACTATAAAACCGCCCCCTACACTAACCCTACCATCCCGTACACCACCGAAACCCTAATTAACCATTTCTCGCTCATCACAACACCACCTCACCTCACTCCCCAACTAAAAAACAATGGCTCACTACCAGGAGGTGGACTACTGCTCGGAGGAGGTGAGGTCGGTGACCCCCACCGGCGGCTTCCTCGGCCGCGGCGGCGTGCAGCAGCAGCACGTCGTCAAGGAGACGTTCCAGGAGATCGACAGGTCCGGCTCCGGCCGCCACCACCACAACCACAACCACGGCAACGACTACCTGATGGTGCGCGAGACCAAGGTGGAGGAGGACTTCAACACCTGCACCGGCGAGTTCCGCGAGCGCAAGCAGAGCTTCCTGCTCAAGTCCGACTGATCGAACCTGCTGTGTGTACCCGTGTACGTACGTACGTATATGTGTGCCCGTACGTAGTCGTGGTGGTCATGTGGTGGCTTAGCTCTACGTGTATATCGTGCGTGCGTGTGTACGTGCGTACACGGAGCTTAGCTAATTAGCACCTTCTTCTCTGTGCGATCACTACGAACGGAGAGGGGGGGTGTATGAAAAATAAATTCGTGACCTGAATATAATAAAGCTTGTCCTAATTATCACCGGTCGATTACTGTTCTGAATCTCTCTGATAGTGTGATAGTGATTAGTCTGGAGTATAAAGTTTCAGTTCGTATGCAACATTAATTAAGCAAGAAGCAGCCAGACGCCCAGAAAAAGGTTTAGCTATATCGATCGTCGCTGCCTGCCGGTAACTTACAAGGAAGAACCATCAGGTTAGTTATATATCGTGAATGATCGTGATGATCTCATTGCAACTATATATGGCTCTTCGCCAATCGTATGGAAGCTAGGGTATGAGAGCCAATAACGGTGCCTAATTGTAACACGCTAAATTAGAAGGTCCTTAATTTTAACATATATGCTAAATTTTACTCCTACTATACTATTACGGCGTTGTCATTTGTAAGTAATTACTTTTTTACATACTGAATTTTGTTAAAGTAATACTGTTTTTACAAACTTTCAGCCAACCAACTTCTATTTTACAATTTTCTATTAAAATGGTATTATCTTTAAAAATTATTCTTTACATACTCTCTCACGTTCCAAATAATGATGCCTATTGACTACTACCTCCATTTCATATTATAAGTCATTTTGACTTTTTACAAGTTAAATTTCTTTAAGTTTGATCAAGTTTATAGGAAAATATAATAACATTTTATGATTATATTAGAATGTAATATATTTTGTTAGGAAATATACTTCTAAGTAATTAAACATTTTCTTCAAATAAAAAAACAACCAAGTTAAGAGGTGAATAACATCCACAGAAAAGTATTTCAAGACAGATGGAATATACAATGGTCCTTGTATTGAACCATCTTTCTTATCAGAATTCTAGCTAGTAAATTTTTAGGAAAAGATAAGGACTGATAATTAACATCGTGTAGCTGATAACAAAATTTAAAGCCAATTACAGAAGAACAGAAGAACAGAAGGCAAAAAGGAAAATTCAGCATGATTTAAACTGGTAGTAAAACGCCTTACGAACAAGCACCATCTAAACATGGTTGTGCGTTGGCAGCGAACTCGCCAAATCCTCGTGCTCCTCCTGCCTCTCATGCTCATGAATCATGATCCCTGTTTGATCCAATCGATGCATGATGCACTCAATCGCGGGCTCTCGTCATTTCAGGACACTCTTGTAGTCTTTACCTTCAATTCTTTTCCAATCTCCTAATGAGACTGTAGATTGATTTAACACATTTTCTTCCTGCAGCCCATGTATATAGTTCCCCACCCGGCCACCCCCTTTCTAACACCTATTATATATGCACGGGGTCCATCTATCTTTACTCGTTGTTAAGTTGTGCTCGATCAGGAAGAACTTCAAAATGGTGGAAACATTGCAGATTGCACATCTCTGTACATCTCTGTTATCGATCCCATCTGTAATCCACAATATATCAGGATGCCATCTTTCTGCCTTTTGTTCAGGCAGTGCAATTCATTGATGACAACTACCAAGCAGGACAAGAACAATAATGAAAGGACATACATTCACAAGAAAAAAACAGTGTGAGTAGCAGAACAGCTCAAACACAAATTGTTCCTATCAATTGGTTCTTTTATAAACTGTACCTTTTTTTTGGTGAGGTTTCATAAACCATACTAAAGGATGTCAGTTTGGTAGGTGTAGAATGAAAACGAGCTTCTTGTGAAAATGGATATATAATGCAATTTTGCACTATTTGTTCATATTAGTTTACAGATTCCAAATATTCTTCCGCATGTACAGGATTATCGTTTGTTCTTTTGCAAGTTTTTATTTTAATACTTCTTACATATGATATGGTCATATACTTATAGGATTGCTCCGCATATATAAATATGTAAATCTTAATATACTGTATTTGTCACATCCATGCCATCACAACCCAAATCAAAGTACTCCCTCCGTTTCATATTATAAGATTTTCTAGCATTGCAAACATAAGAAGATTTCACCCGGATATTAATTGAAACAAAGTTCAGTACAGAGTAACATACTCATCAAATTCTGGAAAGGGACTGAAATTTACTTTCTCCGATAAAACCATGCATAAATCAGACAATGGTTTCCTTCATACAGTATGCCGGTATGCCCATTCATGCTAAAGGCCGAATTCTAAAGAACAACTCGAAATGGTGTATTTATTGTAAACGTTTTCTATACAGAAGTCTCTTTAAAAAAATCAAATAAATTCATTTTAAAGTTTATATAATTAATACTTGACTAATCATACGCTAATGATTTATCTCGTTTTGCATACCGCTAATAATTAAGCAAGCCCCACAACTCCTTCGAACTGAGGCTAAACGTTCACAATATACGCATGCTTCTTTTTCCAACAAAACATTACATTAATTCTTTGTTATTCTCATCTCTTCTAGTTTGCAGGATATATATACTCCATTTACCAAGCATCCAAGCTCTTCTTTTATTCCATCTACATTCTTCTTTGCTTCAATCCATATGATCTGTGTAACTGTCTGCCTTCCCTAGGCCCTAGCTTGCCTGAAACTTTCAGCTCAGTCAGAAATTCGCGGGCATATTGATAGGTAGAAATGTGTCTAGATTTCTCTCCTACCTTCCCGTCGAAACGGCCATCTGGCACGTCTCGGCAGACAGCAATGCACAAAGGCATCTATCTCAGAACAAATTCCCTTGCACACACGCACGCACACCTTTGGGGGCTGCTGGTGTTGCAGGCACACTATAAATAGCAGAACCAAACATTAACAAACCCAACATTGTAACCCTGCATTGCACATCACAGAAACACTCGTAGTAATTAATTTGCAGCTAGTTGTTTGCACCATGGCGCAGTACTACTCGGAGGTGGACCACTGCGCGGAGGAGATGAACAGGCCGCCGCACGCCGGCGGCGAGCACTACGCCGTCAGGAGGGAGTCGTACGAGGAGGTGGACGAGATGGCGCGCGCCGGCAGGGGGCACCACCACGGCAACGGCGGCGGCGGCGGCCACCTGGGCTACAGCGGCAGCCGCCACGGTGATGCCCATCTGGGCGGCCACCGGGAGGAGCACCTCGTCCACGGTGACGAGCACCGCCACGGCCACGGCGGCGGGCGCCAGTACGACTCCTGCACCGGCCAGTACTACGGCTGAGCACGTTCGGTCGCACCGGACGACGTACGCGAGGCTGCAGTTTCTGTATGACTATGTGTGAGTGTGTGTGTGTGTGTGTGCACGGTCGTGTACATGGTGTGTGTGTGCGCGCTCTGACGCACGTACGAGCGTGTGTCTACGCGCACATGCAGCATCTTATCTATGGTCTGTACGTACGAGAATAAATGAGACCGTGGTACATGAATAAATAAGAGCTTCGACGTGCTTCTATATATGCACGTTTGTTACAGTACTCCTTTTCATTCATGCGTACGTGTTCTCTGTTGTGGTAAAGATCATACGGGGGGATGGACGGGCTCTCTACTAGATAAAACATTTTCCCCAACGTTGGGGTTTTATTTTTTGTAGTCGGACATGACTTTTGGTGCCAAATGACCGTCTACAAAAATATAAATTGGGGTGATATTTGGACCACTTAAGCGGCGCCTGCGAAAATTATTTTCGCAAGCGCTCCTTATATGGTCCGACTGCGAAAATAAGGAGCAATATAAATAGACCAGGCTAGAGTAGATTTTTTCTAAGTCCCATTATCTCCCTCACTTATCCTCTCCCTCACCTTTCTCTCCAGCGAGGTGAGGATCCGCGCGCGATGGCGAGGCGCAGGGTCGGCGGCGGCACCAGCGAGGTCGGCGGCGGCAACGGCGAGGCGCGGGGTCGGCGGCGGCAACGGTAAGGCACAGGTCGCGCTGGTCGGCGGCGGCGACACTCGGGGCCGGCTCGACTCCCTCCCCTTCGTCCCATATCTGGCCGAGGGGTAAGGGGGAGGACCTATGGCGGCAGCGGCAAGATGCGGGTCAATGGCGGCAACGGCGAGGCGTGGATTGGCGGTGGCGACGCTCGGGGCCGGCTCGGCTCCCTCCCCTCCTTCCCAGATCCGGCCGGAGGGAGGCCAGGGGAGCGCGGCGGCGGCTGCCGCGACGTGGTTCCCCGGCCTCCCCTCCTAGATCTGGCCGGAGGGAGGCCGGGGGAGAGGGCAGCGGCGGCGGTGCGTGAACGCGGTGGCAGCGGCGCGCGCGGACACGGCGGCGACCCGGTGCGGCGACGGCGGGGAGGGAGACCGGGGGAGGGCAGCGGCGGCGGCGGCGACGTGGGCGGCTCCCCTTCGGCGGCGGCCCTCTCCCGGTGCGGCGGCGGCGGCGAGGCGATTTTTTTTTGTTTTTTTATTGGATTTTCGCAGGCGGGCCATTTGCCTGCTTGTGAAGATGGATGATTTTCACCGTTGTCTGTTTGCAGGCGGTCCTCCCCTCCGCCTGTAAAAATTGCTTTTTGTCGTCTGCAAAAATGCTTTTTATAGTGGCTAGCGCACGCACAATTTTAGCGAGATCGCGCTAGCCAGAGCACAAACCCACAAATGCATGCAAGCAGTTGCAGGATTCCATATTTCCTTTTGCGCGCGCACTAGGCGGTCGTGCGCCGGTTATCAATGTCACGACACGACGGTCGCGCAAGCCCTGGCGAGACTCGAGTGGCGGCCGGCGCGACCACGCGGCAAGCCGACACGACAGTATACACACACGCGAGGTGGGCGCGCGCGTCGCGCGGAACGGCGGAACACGGCTTCCCGGTTGTATTCAAGTTTAATACTTGCTCTGTCTCAAAATATAAAAAATTTTAATAAAATATAACACATCTTAATACTATTAATCATATTAGAATATGTTATATTTATTTAAAATCTCTCTTATTATAGCGGACGAACTGGAATGGAGCCATCAAACTACGGCCAACGTTTGTTGGGACTAGGGAGTTCCGATGTTGCAAGCCGAGCCTAGTGGTAACACCCATATGGGCTGGGATATTGGGCTGCCACCTGTGTGTCCTCGCCCGCTTGCTGTGCCTGCGCCAGCAGGTAAGAATAGAAACCAGCCCACCAGCCGACAAAAGGCCACAACCGTGGCTTGGGAGTTGAGAGTGGGAGAACATAGAACATTATGCATGCGCCGGTAATCTTGAAAAAGAAAAGAACATTATGCCGCCGTAGATCTACTGTGTTTCTTAAAACAAATACTAAATGCAAGCCGTAAACTAGATCAATGGATCGGTCGCATATACTGCCTGCGTCTCATTGCTAGCACTTACCACGCCATACAGTAGCAAACACAATCTACACCTGCACGTACACAGATAAGACAAGGAAACAGAGTAAGCAGGGCATGCCGATATTTCGCCGCCGCCGGCCCACGCTCATCTGAACCACCGCCACCACGTCTCTGCCACAGCGCTGGCGGCGCCATGCAGCACGTCACGCCGTCCGCAACGAGGCACTCGGGGTGGTTGTTGTCTTGAGGCACGTACCATCGCCGGTCGCCGCCACCATGACAAGAAGAAAGCAGCAGTGTGCAACGGGTGCAGCGCTACCGCGCTACGAGGCGCATACGATCGAGAACACTACCATCGGCGAGGGGGAGGAGGAGCACGACGTACGTCAGCCGCCGCAAGGAGGACTACGTACTCTCCGTCTCCACCAGCAGCCACGCCGCTACGAGAGTACGAGTTGTGCAAGGATCGGAGGAGGAAGTCGTGCTGGTGGGATTGAGATCCTCATCGTGTAATTTCCTTAATTTTGATGTGGTGGTTGACATGTGGACCCGAGAATTATTTATGAGCTTAAGGTCCTGTTCTTTTCTCCAACGATGAAGATTAAAATTTGTGTGACACATTTTTCAAACTACTAAATGGTATATTTCGTGGGAAAACTTTCTATATGAAAGTTGTTTTAAAATATCATATTAATCTATTTTTTAAGTTTGTAATAATTAAAACTCAATCAATCATACATTAATACCATCTCATTTTACGTAAAAAACTTAATTTTTATCTTCAAATCTTCAGGAGAAAAGAAGACCACCTAATACCATCTCATTTTACGTAAAAAACTTAATTTTTATCTTCAAGTCTTCAGGAGAAAAGAAGACCACCTAACAGTATGTCATGGTGTGCAATAGCGTGAGAGATCTGCTTCCGTGTCGGTGGCCGGGCGCTCGGCTGCATCGAGGGTTGCGCGCCCGAGCAAGCGCTTCTGATGGCATAAATCGCGCGTCACTTAGGCTGCGTTCGTTTGGAGAACAAATGGGGGAATGTTTGTTTCGTTTTCCGCGCGCACGCTTCCCAAACTACTAAACGGTGCGTATTTTGCAAAAAAATTCTATATAAAAGTTACTTTAAAAAATCATATTAATCTATTTTTAAAGTTTAAAATAGTTAATACTCAATTAATCATGCGCTAATGGCTCATCTCGTTTTCCGTATCTTCCCAATCTTCTCAATCTCCTCTCCCTCAAACACAGCCTTATTATAGTCTTTGTTAACGCGCGTGCGGGAGACGAGGTTGATCTGTTGAGGGAGTGAGACAAAATTATTTCGACGATCTTACGATGTGTCGACGATGTCTAAATAAATCGTGTAGTACTCCCGGCCGATTTTTTGATGCTCGACATATATGCACCTACCGTTTTATTGTGGTATTATATTGTACACGAGAATATTTGGACCAGCGTTAGCATGCAAAACTCACAGCTTCTTTCTAAAATCAACTCTAATTAAAATTAAAAATTTCGTTATGGCTACCAACAAACCGATGATATACTCCCTCCGTTCCAAAATGTAAGTATTTTTAGCTGTATATCTCATAGCTAAAAATTGCTACTACCTCCGTTTTTTAATAGATGACACTGTTGACTTTTTCTCACATGTTTGACCATTCGTCTTATTCAAAAATTTTATGCAAATATATAAGATATAAATCACACATAAAATACTATGAGTTATAAAACAACTCATAACAAAATAAATTATAATTACGTAAATTCTTTGAATAAGACGAATGGTCAAACATGTGATAAAAAATCAACGACGTCTTTAGGACGGAGGTTGTAGCTAACAACAAAAAGCAACATAAAATCCCCCCCCACCCACCCACCCCCAAAAGAAGAGAAAATAATAACATAATTTTTTTTAAGTCTCCCGTGTATTCCTTCACTTTATTCTACAGGGCTCATGTGCTTACGCGGCTAAACCTGCCATTTGGTTCCAAGTAATATGTAAAGGTGGGCACTTTGCCCCCCAGTTATCAGTCTTAAAAAAAATAAGAATCTTCTTCATTTATTGGTATTCATATATTCCAACTCTGATATGCATATATACAGTAAGTCATAACTTGCTACGCGGCTGCTAATATTCAAAGGAGAGAAACATCCCACGCTCAACTGTCAACACCAACGGCACGACCGCACGACGGACGATCAGGCGACAGTACGCAACACCACGCTGAAACGCAAAACCACCTGCATGTCAGTGTGTCACGGTCGTGTGCAGGTCTGGGTGCAGGCGCCGTATCAGGGCTAGGATGCGTCTTTAGCATTAAATAAGCTACCACCTAAGATAAAAAATGATGTGGTAAGTAAATAAATAAGAAAAGAGAAGGAAACAATATCTTGCATGAGACATAGTTTCTATACAACATCTAAGACATTATATGAGATAAGTAGTATTAAATTTAAGTATGGAATAGTAGTGTTTGTATTAGAAGAATAGTGTCTATAGTACTAGTTTTTTTTTTTATGCTGTTAAGTTTATGGAATCTATATTAGTTTCTTGGTTGGGAATGCCCTCACCCACAGTCACAAGCATCGCGTACGTTGATCTTTTCTAGTAGTAGCCGAAAGGTCAGTGAGATCAACTTGAGGCAAGGTGTTGGTTATTCCAAGCTTTCCCAAAAGTGGACGAATTATGAGCAATGGAATATCAATATATCATGGAGTTTTTTATTCTGCTAGCTGCTTCAGCCTTCAGCATGTCACTCATGTCTATGTGTCGATGTACTACGTATGTTTTAGTGTGTACTCATGAAGGCACAGCAAGATGGGAATTCTTCCATCAGTTTCAGTTTGTTACTAGTGAAAGCACAGCGAGATGATCATTTTGCCTCTCAAAAAAAAAGATGATCATTTTGCACTGTAAGAGCAAGTTTAATAGTGTAGTCAACTACTAATTTTAAATTATCTGTAACCAATATAATAGTCAATTCATACAATAGTTGCTTACTATACTATTAATATCTGATCCCACATGTCATACACACATTATGTTTTGGAGTCCGTGTTACAGCTGGCTACAGATTTGTAGTCCACTGCTTTTTTATCTTTTCTTTAATTTTTTTAAAATATATTTATAGCTAACTTATATTCTGCTATTATACATGCTCTAACAAGTTAGGATAAGTACCAAGGCAGGCAAGGAAAAAAAGAAGCCATCTAACATGGCAGGCGAATAGGATCTCTGCTTTATCGTTCAATCAATGACCGGAGTATATATACACCAAATTACAAGATGCCTAATAAATCCATGGAATGTCATTGAGTTTTTCTCTTAAAAAATAGAGTATAGTGGGAAAACGCAATTCATCCCTAAGATCATTTTTACATGTCACTTAAAAAGTCATAAAAAATTGAAAAAAATTAGTATGATAGATCAATATGTGATACGTCACTTCGCAAACATGCAAATTTAAATTCAAATTATGCAAGTAGAAATAAAAATAACAAATTTGACTATGAACAAAACACGTAATTCATGGTCAAATTTATTATTTTTGTTTTGAATTATATATGTCGAATTTTAACTCACTTGTTTACGAAAAGATATATCATATATTGATCTATCTTGATTTTTTTTTAATTTTTTTTGATAACTTTTTGAACGACATGTACGAAACAAATATAGTGGAGTAGTTTTGTTCTGCTAGCTACTTCAGTATGCCAGGGGAAAAGTCATTTTCTCCTCAAGGAGCTGTCTCCTGGTGTTCTACATGTAATCTAAATAGTAATAAAAAAATAATTAAATAAATTAATATGTGGTACGTCGATATCACTGTACAAACATATAAATTTAATTCAACCTATATAAGTTGAAAAAGAAAGTATGGCTGAATAATGCACTTAATGGTTAAGAGTTTAGTTTATTCTCTTTCATTGTAATTTGTAGAAGTTATATTTAAACTTACATATTTATGAATATCATATATTGATCTTATCAAAAAAAAATTTAAATATTTCATAGTTGTTTGAATGTCATGCAAGAATTGATTGATTTAAAGTGCAAAGAATCGACGAGAATTATTTGCAGTACTGACGGTCAATAATACATGTGACTGCAGACAATCCATATCCAAAAAAGAAAAAAAACATCTCCCATGCCATATCTATGTTTCAATGTGTGTTCTCATAAAATCACTGCAAGATGAAAATTCCATCAGTTGCGGACTTTCAGTAAACCATGATCAATTTTTTGGCTGTGATATGCCAGGATAAGCGCTAGCTACGGCATGATAGCTAGTGAAGGAAAAAACACAGACCATCTAACATGGCAGGCGCATAGGATCTTTTGATTCGCTTTATCATCATTCAACCAAAGGCCGTCGGCCTGAGTATATGCGCCAAATTACAAGATGCCCGATGAACACATAGACCAAATTGAAGATATGTATGGCGCCTCCCTGGCTGCAGGCTCGAATGACGAGAGATGCCTATCAAGATAAAAAGTTGCACAACATACTCCCTCAATTCCAAAATATTTGACGCTGTTAACTTTTTAAAAAATATTTGACCGTTCGTCTTATTCAAAAAATTTAAGTAATTATTAATTCTTTTTCTATTATTTACTTTATTGTTAAATATACTTTTATGTATACATATATTTTTACATATTTCACAAAAATTTTTGAATAAGACAAACGGTCAAACATATTTAAAAAAGTTAATGTCATCAAACATTTAGAGAAGGAGGGAGTATATCTCACCGGAGAGAGATTCTAATAGCTCAAGGAACATCCTATTAGTATTTATTACATGTAACCAATTAGTTATATTATTTTTTTAGAAATAAACTTTATGTTATAACCGGTAAGAGTTAACTTTGAATTTTCATGATTTATTATCTATTAATCTATGGCCTTTTTTATATCCAAAATTTTTGGCCGAAAACATCACATTAAATGTTTGGACACATGCATGAGGCATTAAATGTGGGGAAAAAAACTAATTGCACAGTTTGCATGTAAATTGCGAGACGAATGTTTTGAGCCTAATTACGCCATGATTGACAATGTGATGCTACAGTAAACATTTGCTAATGACATATTAATTAGGCTTAATAAATTCATCTCACAGTTTACGGGCAGAATCTGTAATTTACGGACGGAATATGTAATTTGTTTTGTTATTAGTCTATGTTTAATACTAGTATATTTTAAAAAAAAACTTTACCCCCAAAAAAACTAAATACACCCTATATTTATTAGTATTTTTAATTTTTTATACTTGACATGCAGCATACAGCGGATGCCGACTCGATTAAAAAAGTTTATCATATCTTACCGATTAGATGCACCGCCCATATGTGCCACGAAGAAAAACCGATCGAGCACAAATGCTCCCGTCCCGCGCGCGCGCCCATCTCCCCGCCTATAAAAACACAACCCTTGCAACGCAACGCAACACAACAACACAAGCAGCTAGCTAGCACTACTGCCCAGCAACAAGCTAGAGAGATTTGCCAAAAGAAAAAATGGCGATGGCTAGGCGCGGCAATGGCGGCTACCAGTACGGCGCCTACAGCTACGGCTACGGCTACAGCAAGCCGCAGGTGAACTACCACAGCCAGAGCTCCGAGAGCGTCACCACCGTCGTGACGAAGATGGACGAGATGAGCGTCCACGAGAACGCCGTGCAGAAGATGTCGTCGTCGTTCCGGGAGGAGAAGGTGTACGAGCAGCAGGGCGGCGCCGGCGGCGACGTGCAGGTGTGCCGCAATGGCGGCGCTGCTGCAGGCGCCGTGCAGAAGCACACCTACGAGGAGAAGAAGGAGGAGGAGGTGTACGAGGAGAGCAACCATGGCGGAGGCGGCGGCGGCTGCGGCGGCTACGCTCGCCAGCACGGCGCCGGCGGTGGGCAGAAGCACGCCACGTACCAGCACGAGGTGTTGAAAGGGTACGAGAGCGCCGGCGGTGGGTACGCCGCCGCTCGCCACAACGGCGCCGGCGCCGGCGGCGTGAAGAAGCAGTACTCCTACCGCGAGGAAGAGGAGTACGACGCCGGTGGGTACGCTCGCCACAACGGCGGCGGCGTGCAGAAGCAGTACTCCTCCTACCGCCGCGACGAAGAGGAGTGCGACGCCGCAGCCGGAGGAGGGTACGGCCGCCACCACGGCGCCGGCGGCGGCGCCGTGAAGCAGCACGCCACCTACAAGCAGCACCAGGCCATCGAGGGTGTCAACGGCTGCGGCGCCGGCGGGTACAACTACAACCGCCACCAAGCCGTCGCCGTGGCTGGCGGCGGGCAGCACCACTACGGTGGCGCCACTGCCGCCGCGTATGGCAACGCCTCCAACAAGCAGCACTTCACTGCCGCCGCCGCCGGCCACCACAGCAGCGGCGGCCATACCCAATACCACCACCAATCCTACGAATGCGAGGAGGAAGATTCCGACGAGGACGACTGCGAGGACGACGACGACGACGAGAGCGACGACGACGACGACGACGGCCACTGCCCACCTAGCCGCCAAGGCAGCGTCCACAGCTACCACCAGGCGGCGTACCAGCACGAGGAGAAGCAGCACGCCGGCGGCCGCAACCACTACCATGCATACGAGCGCCACGAGGAGCACGGCGGCGGCGCGCAACGCTACCAGAAGTACGAGAGCTCCACCCAGGTGGGCTACGCCGGCGGCGGCGGCGGCAACGGCGGATGCGTGCGTGGCAATGCCAAGCCATGTTTCCGAATCATGGCCTAATCCCAAACTAATTAACCGCGCGTAAGTAAAAAAAAAATATCAATTGCGTTGCTGATGCGCTTAAAATAAACTGTTCGACGCTTGGCTTAAGAAGTTACTATTACTACTAAGATCTCTAATGTATCAGAAAATAAATTGTATGTCTTATTATAGATGCTCTGCATCCACTATGTGGTAAATGATGATAATGTATAAGGTTTTATAAAGGTTTGATGATTACTAATACGCTCGACTTAATTGACTATAACAAAATGTGTATTATTGTCAGTAGCATAGATTTTGCATCAGGTCTGGCCGTCTGGCCAATAATACAAAAAATGTGTATGAACAAGGAAGCAGAGCATAGAATCCCCTGTTACAGCGGCTACTGTACTAACAACATAGCTAATCTCACTACCAAAGAATAATAATAAAACCAAGTGAAAAAAAGGCGAGAACTGGCGATTCTCATGTACAAAACTTGCCCTGAAATTTGCAGAAGGCAGCTGCTTTCTTTCTCTTCTTATTTTGGCGACAATGCTTTGATGAACATCTCTATTCCTATACGCAAGAGGCAGATTTCCGAAATGGAAAACTTGCTAAGACTTGTTACTCCTGATGTGCGTGTATTTTCATCTAAACTGCTGTTCAATTTGGCGGTGTGATCCCTTTTCCTAAGTAATATGCCTTCTCAGCATCAGCCAACCTTTTTTGGAACATCCCCCATTCTTTTCTACAGCGAGCTCTCACCTGTGAAAAAAAGTTGTATATTAAGAGGTGGTGAGGCTCAAACGCGAATATTAGGGAATGACCTAATATCAAATAATTAGAAGGGGGTGAGGCTTCGAACTCAGGTCGTCTAGCCCACCATCTTGTGGAACTAGCCGGAAAACCCCTGAGCGTTTCTCGGTGGTGAGGCTCAAACCAAGGCGGGCTAGCCCACCAACTTATGGTGCTAGCCGGTAAGACTCTGGGTCTTTGCTCATACGGTTTTATTCGGTGCACCTATGGCACATTATCAAATAAAATCGTAAGAGCAAATCCGCATTGCGGATGGTTGCGATTCATATAGGATGTTGTTAAGTCTAGAATTCATGCATCGGAAATGCCCAGATGAGAAGCGAGGAATACATCAGAGCTAGCTTACCCCTTCCCATGGTGTTCTTCCATTCTCAGCCGTGCCCTACCAGTACCAGGAGATAATGTTACAACTTACAACATCATATAATTGTATGGAGTGAGAAGTGAGATAAGCAGTGCATATACCTGGTTCCCCAGTGACGGAATAACCTGATGAATAACCCACTGAGAATCAACAACTCCGATTTTCTCGTGAGCTGGCTGTCAAACCAAAGTTCTGACTCAATAAAACATGACTGATTTGAAATAAATAAATGTGGAGTGGAGAAAACCAGATAACTGTCATAACAAAGTTGGCAACCAGTACATAATAGATTGTGCTAGCTTGCTAGGAGCATGAATAAAACAGTTAACATGCCCTCCGTTTATCGAGAAAAACCTACTGCCCTGTCATCTGTATTAGTTCGCTACATGAATCACTTAGCCCCCACATTTTCCTTGCTCTTAATAGATTGGCACACCACTAGTCCCCAAGATAATTAAATTTAAAAAGAATCTTAAAATTAAGAAAACCTAGACCTTCTGCTGGTTAGGACTATATAACAATGCAGTAGGGCAGAGTCTTATTAATGTAAAAAAAAAAAGATACCTCAACACATCTTCTAAGAGCGAAATCGAGGCCCCATCCATGGACTAAGTCATTCTGCAAAAAGCCGGGCATAAGCATACAGCTTCAAGCAAAGCTAAGAACAGTGCAGATGCCACTCCACCTGAATCATATGCCATACACAGCGCCATGCATCCCTAGAGAACACAGTTGCCATAATTTCAACAAATCTGCATGTGAAACAGAATGTGAAGACGGATAGTTTTAAGAAAAAGAAAACATCTGATCCTCCTTCCGTTTTGTTATGCCGTTGCTGTTTTTCCTTCATGTCGCTTATCCGTCTGGTTTGTAATCGTCTAATGTAAAACTGTTTATTTCACTCTTCTAATATATTCGGCAAGGTTCTTGCCGCGATCGTTTCAAAAAAAAAAAGAAAAAAAAAGAAAAGAAAACATCATGATAAATGACTGAGCCATTACGCTGCACATGGTGGTAGATGTGGATCAGTGCACCAGCCTGGCCTCTCTTCGGTTACTCTGTACATAGAGAAGTATCACTCAAGAAACTAATACAAGTAGGTGATGATCAAGCAACAATGAAGCATTGTAGATTCATCAGCTCACTTGTGAACTTCTTGATCTCCTAGCCGTTTGGTCATTTGCCATGTCAGACCTTTATCAGGTTCCAAACCAGGCTGAGAGATCTCCAACCCATGCTTCCTAACAAGCTTAATGTACCTAAAAATTCATGTTGAAATACTCTTCCTTAGCAGACCGAAAATAAACAAACAAGGGGGGAAGGTGGTGTATGCTTACGCCTCTGCATTGAAATGTTGTACACTTAGATCCTCATCCCAGATAAATATGTAGTCATACGGGGCAACAATATCAGGATGTAAAAATCTCTTGGCATACCACCTTGTATAAAAAAAAAGAGTAAAACACTTAGCCTTTGGTTGTCAAATACATAGTGCTAAACTAGAAGATGAAAAAACACAACAGGATCTGTTACAATAATTTACCATTTAGTCTGCCTTCTGACACTCACATGAATGGCCCTTTTTGACCACTCAAATTCATCCCAGTCATTAGTCCGACCATCATAGTGGAACAACATAATTGTGAAGTTTTCTGAAAACTATATAATAAGGCATGTAAATTTGAAGTGAATGATAGATGTCTCAGTTAACTGTTTAAGCATGATAGATGCCTTATAGTTGAACATAAGTTTTTTTTTTCTATTCTGAAGACTATTTTGAACAAAGCAATTGTATGCTTATTCAATGCAATCAGTTTACACATGCTAGTTGTCTAAGTAATTACCTTTTTGACTGCTGCATCAATATTTGCCTTTTGAGAGTATCCAACTGTGAAGGTAATAAGGTATCTTGGCTGGCTAGTAAGATCCTGATGGTTCATATGGTTCAGATCATAAACCACACGTCCACATACAAAACAGAAGAGGTTAAAAGACCCACCATTCAAAGGTATTGGTTGATACAAGTACTGAAAAAGTGAAATGGTAACTAACCTCACTAGGTTCACCCCACAATCTTCGAAGATAAAGGTCTGTTTCAGGCACAACAATGCCAGGTGCAAGGCCTTCAGCACCTTTAGGGTTTGTTGGCACATAAATCTTGAGCAAAGAATTATGTAGATTAACCAGAACAGTAATACAGAAATAATAGAAATGAAGAAAGAAATCATTAGCAACAACGTTGATTTAGCACATGATGGCATACACTCCAGTAAAGGAGATATCAAAGTACACAGGTAAATGAGGACCTAATATACAGTGCCAAACTTAACATAGGCATAAATTCCTATATTTACATCCTTCATGCAACCTCATATCTTGAAAGTTGAAACTTCACACACCATGCATGAGAAATAGTGGAATACATAAGTTGAGTAATATAAAAGACATTGACCAGGAAATAATAATGCAGAATGTAATAGAATCAGCCTTTACTCACAAAACTAAAATAATGATGGCATAAATCACAGTTTGGCAAAGTACCTTAGGAATTTCGTCAGAGTTAGACTCAGAATTGTTCCTCTTTTTACTATTTGCAGATGTCCATGCATGATTCAACAATGTTTGGGTTGTGATACCAGAGTCTTTGTCTTCAATATATGAGATAATACTGGAAGGGAAGTGGAGCTGCAAGATACAATCAGTTCTTTTTTCCCTGAACAAAAGCGGCTGGTAGAAGAAAACAAGAGAAGCAAATGATCCATATTTACCTTGGTTACATTGACAGTAGGAAATGAAATCCCAAACAAGTAACCTAGCATAACACCAATAACTGCTGAGAATAGGAGCCTCATGCCCTCATTTGATCTTGGCAAGCCACTGCTGTTGAAGATTGACAAAATAATAATAGTAATAATAAAATTATGACGCATATTTATGAGCACTACAGAAAAAAATAAACATATTGCTAATAGTGATCAGACATTAGTACAGTACATCAGCTACGTACTACTACCTCCGTTTCATAATGTAAGTCATTCTAGCATTTCCCACATTCATATTGATATGAATGTGGGAAATGCTAGAATGACTTACGTTATGAAACGGAGGAAGTAGTAGAAAATAAAAACATACCTGCGGCCTAGAATGGCAAGCTTTGACATTGCGGCAAAGGAATTTGTTTGCAAAAGGGTACTGCCACACCAGCACTATGGAATTAGAGATAATGTGATCACTCTTTTTTTTTTTGTCCAAATTGTTAGGTGAGGCCAGAGAAATCTTCAACTGGTATCAACGCAACAAAGAAAATCAGATTATTAAAACATTAAAACACCAGGGACAAAATAGAAACAGAAAGAAACGAAGAGAAGAGGGAAACATTTTGAAGGCAAATCGGGGCAGCGCGCGAGATCCCCAAATTGTAAGAGATGTTTGGTCCCGTCGTATTGGTGCCAGCTGCTCACCAAAACTCCCGCGGCCAACGACGTGTCGTGCCGCAGATCGGGTCGCCCGCGTGCCGGTGCCGGTGATCCGGCAGCGGCGGCGGCAGCCCACGAGGACTCACCGCCTCTCCTTCCGTCCCCGGGCCGGCGGCTGACAGCAGGCGGCGGCGAGGGGGAGGCGAGCCCGCCGGCGGCAAGAGAGAGAGAGAGACAATGCGGCAGTAGAATGTTTGCCAGGGCAGTGATGGAATATATCAAATATTGGTGTGGGTGTTTGTATTGTACGAGTAGAGCATGTTCACAATACACACCGTAATCTGGGATTCTGGTTGTCCTATACGACGTGGCTGTATCAACAATCAATCACATTCTCTCTTCAGTGTAAGAAGTAGTAGTCACGTAACCGTTGATGTATATCCAATACAACTGCTATACAACTGCTATATCCAATGAACCTCATCATCTTCTTATAAGCATAGTATCAAGTATCAACGGAACCTCATTTTTGCACTACATCATTTCTCAGCCAATATACCAATACAACTACTATTTCCAATTAACCTCATCACCTTTCTGTTAAGCACTATTTCCAATTAACCTCATCACCTTTCTGTTAAGCACAGTATCAACGGAACATCATTGCTTATTCAATGCAATTAATATTTTCAATGAACCTCATCATCTTCTGCTAACAAGTATCCAGGGAACCTCGTTTTTGCACAACATCATTGCTACAGTGAACATCACCTTTTCGACACCAAAACTTCACTGCTTCTTCTGTGGCAGTTCATTCTCTTCTGCCAAGGCTTTTTGCAACTCTCCAAAGAACTTAGAGAATGCTTGTATTATGATATAGCATCTGCCCATTTCCTCGAATTGAACTTTTACCGTTCTTATCTTGCCACCTGATTTCTTTTTTTTGATCCTTCTCAATGCTGCCCATCTGTCCAGGTGTTCTATTGAGTTCCTACACAACAAACTCTGCCCCCATGAATCTTCCGAGTACTTGCATTTTGGTGTTGCAGTTTCAGGTTTTGGGTCCTCAATATTGGTATCCTGGCCAACTGCAGTTTTTGGTTTTACTCCCTCAATACCAGTACCTTGACTTGCCGCTGTTGTTTCAGGCTTCACTTCCTCGGTGGTATGTACTAATCCCTTTCTCCTCTTAGGAATGCCCAGTGAAACCTTTCTTATGTACTTATTCTCCACCGCCCGACTCATCCAATTGTTACCAGTTGGGATGTTTTCCATGATTCTTTGAAACTTTTCTGGATTTATGTCTTTGAGGTGAATGAGGCGCTTGTGCCACCAAAGGAACTCAGATACTTGAGTCAATGGGTCCAATAAAGAGTAGTGCATGCCCAAAAGGGCTGTTTGCTCCATAGGATTGTCGGTCAAAAGGTCAAGTAGTTGCTCGATATCAACCGGCAAATTTGTCACTGATGAGAATATCACTTCCCGGGCAATTTTTCCGATGCTCTTGTAATCCTTCGATCCTCTTGTCTTGGTGAAATCTTTCACTCTACTAATACCACCAATTTTCACCTCAAAATCTGACGTGACAAACAGAATTTTGTGTTCAAACCCACCTAGACTGAATCCAGCAGAGTGCATGGATTGGAACCTTTTGATTATCTTGAAAAGAACAGCTCTGCAAACTTCAGTGCTTATCCTTAGAGTGCTTTCTGACCCTGGCACGCTCACTTCACTTATAAGCTCTTTTTCTTCAACATAAAAATCCAATCTCTGGCCTTCCTCTTGTAGATCACAAATCACATGCGAATGCATTTTCCTCAAGAAATCGGTTCTCTGCATAAAAAATAGATAACCGCTTCGACTTAACATAAGCTCCATATACAACTACTTTCCCTTACATTTGCAGCATGTCATCAGTAGAAATTCAACATTAATTCGCAGTCTTCTGTAAGTCAAACCTTAGGGAAGAACACTGGTAGCATGAAAATAGATACTCCAAAAATCAGACCATTAATGCATTAGAACTACTGGATTAGTCTTGAACTGGGATCATAATCCAAAAATAGAGTAAAAGGGCTTTTTCTTTTAATTTTTTAGGTGCGGCTGGATTAGTCTTGAACTGGGATCATAATCCAAAAATCAGACCATTAATGCATTAGAACTACTGCTAAGAATAAATTGAACTATAAACAAATAGAGAAAAGAGAAAAAAAAAATGAGCCGCCACCAAAGCATGGTTGTCAAATGACCTATTCCTACAGCCCTATGTTGATACTCCCTCCGTTTCCAATTGATATCACACTATATAAGTGCACTAGGATTAAGAAGAAACAATAACTCTCCCGTACTACATTTATAACAAACTTATGCATGCACCATCCCGCTATTTCCTAGCCACTAACAAAGCAAAGACATTGAATATTGGTTGTAAAGAGTTGTGTACATGGATGCATGCACTAATGTCTATTCACTCCCATGCACAAATAATAACTAGGGAATGAATATAATTTGAAAATAACCTTATAAAAATTATATAATGATTAATTGGGAATAGAGAGAGTAACATACATGGATAATCCACGGCGCAATACTATTTTCTTTAAGTTTTAGGGGTGCCACTGCCATGCACATGTATCTACCGTGGTTTGCCTGTTGGCCCACAGACCACTACCAACTAGAACTAATTGTGTTAATGTGATTGATGTAGCATCATAAATGGCATAATAGCATTTTTCTCTTAGCATAAATTTACAAGAGCAGGTTTACCCGTACATTTATGACTCGTGTAAATTCAGAATTGTTACTACTCTCTACTAAAAGCAAAGTTTCGAGGGCATTGTATAAGAATGAAACATACCTCAGCAGTTAGGTTGCCTCTGATCTTGAGTAGTTCTCTTCTCTTTTTCATTTTCTTTTTTTCCCTGCCTAGCAGATCCCAAAATAGTAATTCCCACATCGTGATGTGATTTACTAATTTCCCTGGAATAAACAAGAAGACATCTGCCTTAGATCAAACTAGATACCAACAGAGAAAAAAAATTCAACCAATTCAACAAAAAATGGTGCTGTCTGCAGCACAAGAACTCTGCCATGATTAAAAGAACCAAAAAACAAATTATTTCTCAAGATGGACTTGTTCTTACCTCTACCTGGCAGGTTGGAGGTGTAAGATAGTTTGTTCGCCTTACAACTGCACAAGTGACACGTGCAGGACGATGAAGAAACAATTCCAAGCGAATATCGGCGGGCTGCAACATAAACAAGAATCAACTATCAAAGCAATTTCTTTAAAAAAAACATCTACACATAAGGGATTCTAATGCTTAAAAACCAAGATAAACAAGCAAATGTCAAACAACAAAGATTCTTCAATCTTTACCCATCTTCGGTTCTCATGAAGAGGAAGTTTACATAACAATAATCAATCAAAGCAATTTTAAGAAAAAAAAAGTAATCACCAAATACGAAAAAAAGAGATGTAGGTCAACACGGAATGGTTTTTAATTCTTTTAAAACGAAATGAGCAATATGATAAACAAACAATGGCATGTTATTTAATCTTTACCGCTATCTTTGGCTCGCAGGAAAGAGGATGTCGACAGAAACAAGCATCGATTACATCAATTTACGATAAAACTCAGAGTAAGGTAGGAGAAAAGTCACAATAAGAGGAGCGAGAAGGGGATAGAGCATGCTCAAAGAATTGGGACTGATTTTATCAGACGTGAATCACTCAGCCTTGATCTCTATATATAGTGTACCAGGGCATATATCCAAAGGATTAGTTGGAATCACAATTTTTACTAATCAATTCATACTCATCGTCGTAATCATTGCCCTTGTCGCCCATTCAACCGAGCAATACCGGTTGCCTCCTCTTGAGCCAAACCCACCTTCTTAACCGGCCAATACAAAGATGTTATATCATCATCTACTAACAATTATTACATCTTAATCATCATGTATGCTATATTTATACAACTATATATTTATTAAACTTTAGAGCTTTAAAATACAAACATGTTAAATCATCTCACATAATTCACATAAATTTCAGTATCTCCCACTTAGTTAATGTTATTTCTCTCTTCTCTTATTAAGCTATATCTCAATTATTTTTAACCCTTAGATGATTAATCTATAATCCAAATTCTCTCATTGAGCCATATCATCTCAATTGTTTTTAGCCATTCGATAATTAACCTATGGTCTAAATTATCTCTTTTCTTTTCTTCTCTCATAAAACTACATCACCTTACTATTACATTGAATCATCATTCCATATACTATTTGAATTATCGTATATCATAAACTTGTGTCAATCTAGCTGTCTTACATATTATTTCTATTTATTGTTATCGTACTAAACTCCCGCAGTAAAGCGTGAGGTTAGTATCAGAAGAATAGCAGGGATTGCTTCTTCCTGAACATAGGAATGACAGCAAATTACAAAGTTTAACAGAATAATCCAAAAAAAAAAAGAGAGTGACCTGAGAACGCATTGCAGGAGTTCCACAAACAGAAAGCACACCAAAATCAGACATAGTAGAAATGTCAGGTTAATAAAAACAAATAAGCATCGTCTAGTACTGTCATATTTTTCATACCAAATTCCAACCTATTTTTTTACAAATTTACAAGCAATTCAGTCTGTAAACTCCAAATAAGAGTACAAGCATTTAGCTTTATTACAAGCATTATCCTCCAACCATCTTAATTATAGTGTTGTATTACAAAAGGATAGAGAAGTTCCAAGCTCATAAGTAGTCCATACAACTCAAGTTTCTAAAAAAAAATCAGGCAAAACTTTCGATGAAGGCATGCACCAAACAATGGCCATAGAGCTTCCTGCAGAAAATATATAGTGATTTTGGTGTAGACCATCAGTGAACTGTGAGTTGACAACATAATATAGTGATCATAATTAGCTATCAAAGCATCACAGGATGCCAAAATAGCATATTCTGTGATTTCCTTGCAAGTAAGTATATTAGTGTGATAAAGTACAAAAGGATTAATTAAGATTGGCTCCTAAATGGTGGTGAAAGTACAAAAGATCATTGCTTATATCATAATAAGTACAGAAGTGTCGTTGTATGACCATTTATAATGAACCAAAGTCAATCTCAGAGGTTTGTTCGATATAAGAGACAAAAACGTTATGTCCAGAAAAAAAAAAGGAGCTAATCCAAGCAAAATAGAGAAGTTTTGTAATACCTTTTGAAAAAAAATATATATATCACCACAGAAAAATTAGTCAACCAAGTGATTGTGTAGTCATGGTTTCATTTTTGTCCTGATTTTGACAGTGACATTTTTGTTTGTGGAAAAAAAAAAGGGGCAAAGTGACCCCAACTCACTTGTATATTTGGGCAAGCCGGCTGATTGTTACTACTACCAATTGCTGATTAGTGACCATAACTAGTCAATCCCAAAGACATTAGAGTAGCAACTGGTACATGGAAACTAGAAGAAACTAGTCAAATATTTAATTCATTCAGGACAAGAGTAGAACTTAACCAACTCAAGTACTGAACTCTCTCAAATGCATATAATTTCAGGTATATACTTAATTAAGACACTAAGTCTACAGTCATAGCCGCTGCTAATGAAGAGTTGAAGACAGTAAAGAAAGAAGTGCAAATAGGTAACACATGGTTCTCGTTTCCTAGAAAGGAACATGATACATTTCAACTATTCATATTACTGCAATTCTGAAATTCAGTTGTTTTATTAGATATCTCCATATGAATATATATTTTATCTCTAGTATTCATCTGAATGTTTGCCTCTACAGACTCTACTGAGCACTGGAGCAGTTGGTCTACAGACTCTATCAAGCACTAGAGCAGTTGGTGAAAATGGCTTCTCCCTTCTCTTCCTTTCCTCTCTCAGGCTTTGTTCAGTTATCTGATAGGAATTTCTCAGGGAAAATTCACCCATGGGGGTGATTAGGTTGATCCCCTCCCACCCACCCAATCCCCTCCATTCAATTGGTTTGCTTGGATACAAACTGAATATCACAAGAATAGCAGGGATTGCTTCTTCCTGAACCAGCAAATTACAAAAATTAAAAAATAATCCTACTATAACAGAAATAGTGGTGGTAGTGGTTCTGCCACCAACTGACCACCAACCCATAACTACTAATTTTGCATGTTCTATAATTAGCCCCCTCATATTTTTCTAATATTATACAATAGTCTAACATTTGGTTGAGTCAAGTGAATAACATATATTGAAATAAGCATGGGAAAAAGCAAAGAATGGACATTTTACTCATAGCATTTTGGTAGTAATCAAAATTTAAAAGAGAGTGACCTGCGAACGCATTGCAGGAGTTCCACATACAGAAGCACACCAAAATCAGGCATAGCAGAAATGTCAGGTTAATAAAAACAAATAAGCATCATCTAGTACTCTCAGATAGTCAGATTTTTCATACCAATTTTCCAACCTATTTTTTACAAATTTACAGGCAACTCAGTCTGTAAACTCCAAATAAGAGTAAAAGCATTTTGCTTTATCACAAGCATTACACTCCAACCATCTGAATTATAGTGTTTTATTACAAAAGGATAGAGAAGTTCCACGTTCATAAGTAGTCCATACAACTCAAGTTAAAAAAAAAAGGCAGAACTTCCGATGAAGGCATGCACCAAACAATGGCCTCAGATTCACTATGTAGTTGTATATAGTGCTTCCTGCAGAAAATATATAGCGATTTTGGTGTAGACCATCAGTGAATAGTGAGTTGACAACATAATTACCTATCAAAGCATCATAGGATGCCAAAATAGAAGATTCTATGATTTCCTTGCAATTAAGTATAGCACGATAAAGTACAAAAGATTAATTAAGTTTGGATCGTAAAATGGTGGTGAAAGTACAAAAGATCGTTGCTTATATCATAAGTACAGAAGTGTCGTTGTATGACAATTTATAATGAACCAAAGTCAATCTCAGATATTTGTTCGATACAAGAGACAAAACGTTATGTTCAGAAAAAAAATGGGAGCTAATCCAAGCAAACTAGAGCAGTTCTGTAGTACCTTTTGAAAAGAAAATAACCACAGAAAAATTAGTCAGCCAAGTGATTTTGTAGTCATGGTTTCATATTTTCCTGATTTTGACAGAGGCATTTTTGTTTGAGGAAAAAAAAGAAGGCAAAGTGACTCCAACTCACTTGTATATTGGGGCAATCATAGACTGTGCTAATGAAGACAGTAAAGCAAGAAGTGCAAACAGGTAACACATGGTTCTTGTTTCCTAGAAAGAAACATGATACATTTGAACTATTCATATTACTGCAATTCTGAAATTCATATTTATACTAGTAGTACTAGGAGTACTAACTAAACTGCTAAAGCAGATAATTTCTTAATTGATATTATCTTCATCAGTAGTGACAAGTAACTGCTAAAGCAGAGATTTCTCCTCATTTGATGTTATTTTCATCGGTGGTTATTACTGTACCATGTACAGATGGTTAATCGCATGACTAGCAGATTTTTTGAACAAGAGAATTAAAATACAAGAAACTTTTTAAAGCGATGCCACACGACAACTCGATGATCAAGAAAGTGACACCAATTTGAACCCCCACCTTCCCGCCGCGCCACCGCCAACCCCAACCCCCACCTCCTCCGCCCCCCACCCCCACCCTCACCCAAAAAAAAAAAAAAACCAAGAACGCAAACAAGACCAGCTCTGCTTGAACAACAGGCCAAAACTAAGGATCCATTGCAGCGAGGCGAGAGAGATTCTTACCAGATCACGGCGGTGACGATGCCTTGCAGGGTGGCCGGATCTCCCTCCCTTCTCCCTACCCCTCTCGGCGCAATCTGAAACAACATGGGATTAAACCCTAACCTAGCAAGAGGCTTGGGAGGAAGACGAGAAAAAGATTACTAACCACCCGGGAGAGGCGTTGATTTCCCTGCGTGCGCGACGAAGGATGCCGGCGCAAAGGAGGAAGACGCCGCGAAGGAAGGGGAGGCACCGCCGCCGCCGCCGCCGCGGGTACCGGCGGCCGGCGCGCCTGGCTATTGGACGCCGGAATCGAGAGGAATGGGAGGAAGGCGAGGAGGAGAGGAAGGCGAGGGAGAGAGGCCGGGTGAAAAAAAAAAAGAAGAGAGAAAATATTAACCACTCTAATGCGATCGCTGTAAATTAATCGCGCCGCGTCAGCAATTTTTGCAGCAGAACCCTTGCGTTTTCGTTAATTACATACTGGTTCCCAATAACAATGTCCGTTCGATCTCTCTATAGGGCCGATCTGACCGTCCACGTTTCACGCTGTGGCGGCCCTTTCGCACCCGTGGATCGTCGGATCGGGAACGGACGGCGCAGATTTCGCTCACCCGCACCAAGCCATAGCCCCCTCGCTGGCCTCTCCCGCAGCCTCGCGCCCGCCGCCGCCGCATCCTCGCCTCCTCCAGCCACCGCCGCCGCCATCGTCGCCTCTTCCGCGATGGACGTAAGCCGCCGCCGCCACAGGCCACTTCTTCTCTCCCTCTTCTCCCCACTCGATGCAGGTTCTTGCACAGGGGCCGCCAGATCCGGTAGAAGATGGTGGTCGGAGCAGTGGGGTGTGGGGATGGCGGAGGTCGGGGAGAAGAACGAAGGAGAAGGAGCACGGCGCCACAATCATGGCTGGGTTTTTTTATTTGCGCCCTCCTCGCTCGCTCAATTTGAATCTCCTCTCCGTTCTCTTCTCAGGTGAGTTTGGGAGCCGTTCCTCGCAGCCATGCTTCTCCTCCTGGCTACTGCTAACTGTTCATGGCTGCTGTTACTGATGCTGCTGCTTGCTAATTTACTTCTGCTGTATTTCACGGATATTAGATTTGGGCATACTTACTACTCACTACTGATTAGGATCTCACTGATGCAGAAGTAAATCTTGTGCCCATCCATTCCATTGAAAAATAAAGAGTAAATATCAGAGAACCCCATGTACATATGCTTGTGTTTCATAAACCCCAGTGTCTAAGCACCTGGTTTCAAAATACCCATGTAAATGGATCAAAGGTTCAAAAAACCCCATCTCTAAGCAGTTTGGGGCATTTGAACTTGCCAACATGGTTCATGCATGATCCACTGTCAGTGGCAGCATTAGTAGCTATTGTGGAGGCGTGGTCAAGGCGAGTGCGAGGTTGCAACTTTAGGCGAGATGGGGTGCTCAGCCATTATATCACTTCTCTTTCTCCCCTATCTCATTCATCATCTCCCATTAGGGCACCTGCTCAACGATGCGGACGTTGCCACTGAAGGCTGAAGACAAAGGATCGCAGTAGGCTGTATGGCCGCGGGAGGCGAACAGCTCAAGCTATATGGTTGATATGGCAGGTTTCTTTGCAGTATTTGTTGGAGATTATGTTCTAGGGTTTATTTGATTTGGGGGCACGGCAAATGCTAGATTGATCCTTTTCTTTATGCTCGTTTTCTAAGAGTTTTGATTTGGGAAACAGAACTTGCGTCTGAGTTGGTGTCTTAAGAGTACCATTTTGAAACACAAGCACATGTACGTATGCCTTTTTGTTTGTTGCAGTGTGTTTCTGGAATGCAGCTCTTTTGTACTTACATGAGCTAATATGACATCGCCTAAAGCAATTAAGCAACTGCTAATTTTTGCCTCATTGTAAACCTATCAGGAATGGTCAGTTCGTCATTGTTTATTTTCTTGATGTTCCTGTTTCCTAACACTATGAAGGGATGAGTGACAATTTTAACTTTCAAGGTATGTAACTGATCCTTTGATGTAAATACACTACGCTCAGTCTGCTGTTTGAATCAATATTCCAGTCGTATACCTCATATTGTTAATATAAATCATCTCGCAGTTCTATGTACAAAAAGTCACACTAATTAAGAAGTGCCATCAGACTTAATCCAGCATGCTGTCAATGATATTTATTACTGAATGGTTTGTGGCTATACAAAATAGTAATAGGGCTTGGAGAATTTTCCCTAAGTTTGATTGACCTTGTGATGATGCCTTTTTCTCCTTCTTTCTAGGATCAATTATGCAACTAGAAATATTGTGATCGGAAGGAGTTCCAGGCCAGGGCACTGTGATTTGCTTCTAAACAGACATTATGGCTTTCAAGCATCAAAACAAAGGCTCATTCATTCTCTATGCATGAAAATGATTGGTCCGTATTTTCAACCATACTAAGATGCTCTCAGTGACCTTAAGAGGTTCAAATGGCAACAGTGAACAAGCTGAAATTACAGAAATGCCGGCTTCCCAATTCTTAGTGAAGATGTGAGTATCCCAGCGTACCATATTAAAGTTACTTCTGCATGGGCACATGAAGCTCATACTGCTTGGTCATACAAGTGCTAATTTCTGCAGTATTATTACTTTTGTCATATGCAGTGCTTCTTACTTATGACAATCAATGTTCTGTGATTGTTTCATGCATTATATATGTTCAGCAAAATCTGCTCTTCTAATGACTGTAGTTGTGCCCCTACAGTGTCATCTACATTGATGGTTCATTACTTCATTGTCCACCTTAATCTTACAAATTCCAGCCAGAAAGTTCACTTTTAGGATCTCAGATTTACCTTATAATGCGAGATTTTAGGTTCACATAGATTAAGACTAGGAAGTTCATGCTTTATTTCAACTTTTTAAGTCATGGTCTGCAACAGTAGGAGCAATCCTTTGCTGGTAATGGTTGCTTTATGAACCTTTTTTAAAAGAAAAACTCTATATGTCTGCAATCTCAAGCTTGAAGCATTTACTCTCTTTGTAATTCTTGCACTTTCACCGCCTGCTGACCATATGCCTTCTCATTTTTCTCCATGTCTTCCATCATGATATCATGCATGTCATGTACTGATGTGCATATTTTCCCCCAAATAAAACATGAACATTTCAAAGTTTACACAAGGTTTTGCTAGCTTCCACTTATGTTTAGTAATTAGTACAATTTGAAAGTTTCCTTGGCGCAGCATAAGTCAATTGAAGTTCGCTGTCAGCAAGCTTTTACTCCATATCGATTTCAGTCAATTTATATCTTCCATGTATTATGGTAGAGAAGAATAGTATCCATATAACTTGCTCCTGTAAGTTCATAACCAATAACTCTTGCTAATGACATTTTGAAAGGTTGTTTTTAACTGTATATGCAAAATTTTGCGGTCACAGTTTGTTGTCACCTATATGGGTATATGATAGCAGACCACATATTCGGAAATATAGCTGGCTACTCTCAAAAGTAAAACTCAATGTGCATCTTTCGTTTTGCCATTCCGCACCTTTTAACACTATAATCCTTTGTTGTCGCTATAATATCAAATGGAACTTTACCAGTGGCCTGCAAATGAGATTATTATAAGATACTCCCTCCGTTTCGCAATGTAAGTCATTCTAGTATTTCTCACATTTATATTGATGTTAATGAATCTAGACATATATATTCATTAACATCAATATAAATGTGGAAAATGCTAGAATGACTTAACATTGCGAAACGGAGGAAGTATATATTTATTATTTATCGTTTTATTATTCTTTTATTTTTGACAGGTAACAAGCCTTTTAACTTCTTCAGTTAATCAGGACCAAGTGCAGCTTTGGTAGTTTCTTTGGATTGGCCATCAAGAATCACATGCACATTCGCGTATGCATGTGGAGTTCCAAAACCAATGTTGCATGATTACGTACCGATCTCTGTAAATCAAAATGATGGCATACCGAGTTTGGTGTTATGTATACATTGTCGTGCATGATCGTATACAGATTTTTGCCGTATCAAAGAGATATTTTTTTCTTGCATTGTCGGTACGCACGCGTTTCTTGCTAGTTTCGCTCACCCACTGACGGCGTTTGTTTGGATGAAAAATACCCCTCTTGGGGCTGCCTACCTCGAATTTTTTTATTTATAATTTTTTTTATTAAAAGTTTTACAAAAATAATTTTCCATTTTAAAAATTGACGGAAGTAGTCGCCTACCGCCCTCTGGGAGGGCGAGAGGGCGGCGAAAATGACGTGGCAGCCGGCCGTTCGCTCTCGGGCGACGGCCGTCAACGAAATTTGCAGGCGGCCCCCTTGCCGCCCTCCGCTAGGGCGATTTTATACTGTGCGGGGGGCCGCCTGCAAATGGGCGGCGAGGGGGGCATGGAATTTTGCAGGCGGCCCCCTTGCCGCCCTCCGCTAGAGCGATTTTGTACTGTGGGGGGGCCGCCTGCAAATGGGCGGTGAGGGGGGCATGGAATTTTGCAGGCGGCCCCCTTGCCGCCCTGGGGGAGGGCGATTTTATACTGTGCTCTAAATTTTTTTATAAATATCAATAGTTATCAAATCTTTTTATATTGAAAACTATACAAGATTAAAATCTCCAAGACTGGTAAAATACAATTTTATTATTTTTTAGGGCATATTTGGATTGTTACCGTACAAATATTTTGTTAGTGCCAAAATATAAGCAAGTTTTGGCACTACCAAATATTTGGTAAGGTAAAATTGCATTTGATCATATTTGGTTTGCTGCCAAAATGTAAAATTGTAGTGAAGAATGTTCTACATAATCTCAAATCTAGATTACGTATTACCAATGAATAGGCTTCTATTTTCGTGTGTGGTGTGCTAGTGGGAAAGAAGATATGAAGAGGTTGCCTTCAGATTGTCAATTATATAGCGTCGTTTTCACTGCAATATATGTGAACTCAATGAGATACATTATTCATTAGATGTGACAAGACGATCACGCGTGGGCGTGAATCACTTTATGTCAACAGGCAGCGCCGAAAGTTGATAGTGATAACTCGAGCTGCCGCTTTTCATGTGTGCTGTTGTGGACTGTGCGCGCTACTGGATCTGACACTACCGTGAAGCGCCGAAAGTGTGTTGTCGTGAGCATAAGTTGTTCTAGCACCATATGAATGAAAAGAACTATGTAGACGAGACAAACACAAGTAGTACTGCAGTAGTAATAGCAAAAGTAGTACTGCTTTACAATTTTGTAAGCCAAAAGAAACGGTCACATAAGGACTGAAGAGGTAGAACACTACTGACGAGGCCTCTTACCCCTGTCCCTCCTACCCTGCGCCCTAATGTGCCCCTGGGAGTACGTGAGTCGGTCCGGGGGTACGGCACGGCCAACCCGTCCTGCCTGTACAGGTGTGACCTCTGGCTGCTCCTGAGTGTGCGCCTCTGGAGCTCCTCCAAGCTGAGAGGAGCCTAGTACGTCGTGGTGGTGTGCACCGTGCAAGTCGTCATCGTAGAACTGGCTAGTAGGACCAGTCCTACCGGCGTGAGACGAAGAGGCCCCAGTACCGAAGATCCCGGCTGCAAATCCTGCTGGACAAGGACCATCAGTTTCGTACAAGTATTTAACAGTGGTAATAAAAAGTAAAGTACCGTGTGGGCGAGGGATCGACGCTCCGTGAGAGGAAGAGCTGGCGAACGCGCCCGAAGAGGTGGCGAACGCCCCTGCGGAGCTCGCGGAAGCGCCGGTCGTGCCTGCGAACGTGCTCGAAGGCAGACGAGGTCCTGCGATGAGGAAACGTGCAGTTAAAACATAGTGACATATTCGTGCAAAAGCTGAAACAAAAATGAACTAATATCTGGGCTGAACTGTACCGTGCGAAACCGGTGTTGTAGGTCGCACTGCTCCGAAGCTAGGGGCACTCGAAGGCAAACGAGGTCCTGCGAGGATGGAACATCAAGTTACGACGGGGTGATGTTTTCGTAGAAAAACAGAAACAAAACTTAAGAAACCTCTGGGCTGAGCAGTACCGTGCGAAACAGGTGCCGTAGGTCGAGGTCCTGCTCCGACGGTAGGCGCGCGAGGCCGTGGTTGTACCGGACCAGCTGGAGGTACGACGTCCACGGCGCTGCGACAGGAGAAGACGCGCATGACCGCACGCATCTTCTCCTGCATCTGGTCGAAGGTCACCCTCTGCTCAACGTCAGTCAAGTGCAAACCTCTGTTCAACCTCACTTGGACTGCGGTGATATCGGCACTGATATCCCGTGCGGCATCAGCCTATGCAAGATGGAAATAAAAAATTCAGTAGTTGTCCTATATTATGCAAGATAAATGAAATAATTGTAAGAAGTAATACAAATTGGACGTACCGCCACGAAGTAGTCTCGGTCACGGTGCGTGGGATACGCGTCCGTGACAGCAGCAACGTGCGGCTCTGGGGCGTCTGGAGTGAAGGTCACACGCGCACGAGTGCGAGGAAGGTACCAGCGAAGGTAGTCACGGTAGTTCTCCTCCGTGTGTGGGAAGAGCTCGTTGATCACCTCCTCTGTAGCTAACACCCAATCGTCAACGTACTGCTGTACACGTGGAGCCCAAAGTGCGCCTGCTAGCTGTCCCCGTCGAGTCAACCTGTGAAGAGAGGTAAATTATATGGCTCGATGAAGTAATTATCATAAAAATTTAGAAATGAACAATCCGAACTCACGAGTGGTCGGCAGGGAGGACGGTCGGCTGCACGTTGCCCGGAAACACCTGCCTAAGTCCGAACTGTCTCATCACACGCTGCGGGCAGTGAGGCTCAACGAAAATGTCGAAGACCATCGGCAGGATGGTGAGCCAGTAAGCCTGGTCGCGTGTGCACAAGGACGAAATTCCTAGCGGTGCTCTCGCAGCGACGGCCTCTTCTGTGTACGGCTCCCAGATGACGTCGCTCGGCTGGAGACGGTCAAACTCGAACACGAAGTCCGGGTAACCACGTCTCACCTGGACGTGAGCGTAACGACGCTGCAATAAACATGATCGGAATTAGACATGTTATGTGAAGAAAAAAAAGAAGACGACTGATAAACTTATAACGCAGCGAAGTTGCACTAACCCCACGTCGACACCAGTAAGTCCCCATCGTGGGACCGTCCTCTGGCCACTGCGCGCTGCGACCAACCCCGTAGGGTGCGCTGTCCACCACTGGTCGACCTATGGCAAACCTCTCGGCTGCCCAAAGCTGAAGCAACATAGGGCAGCCAGCGATGATCGCTCCCGCGTCAGTCTTCGTGCACGCCTCACAGAGGGCACGGTACGTGGCTGCTAGCACGGCAGAACCCCAGCTCCACTGCGGCACGTCCTGTGGCTGAGCATCCGCGATGGACCGTGCGTAGTGGACCAGCCGGAAGTCCACAGCGTGCCCGTGGGTGCTAGTGAACATCACCCACCCGAACAACCACAACAGGTACGCCTCAAGGGAGCGTCGGACCGAGTAATCATCAGCGTCAGGGTGCAGAAGGTCCGCCTACAATTAAGAATGAAATTTTAGTACAAAACACTCATCCGGTCGCAAATAAGCATGTATGATAATAACAACTTATTTACTTACAGTGAACTGGAGCAACCAAGCCTTGCTAGGCCCGACTGTAGAGTACGGAGGAAGGGTGTTGGCCGGTCCTAGGTGTGGAAGGCGCATCACCTGCTCGAAGCGCGCAGTGATATCCTCCTTCCACCCAAAAACACCGTCCACGGGACCAACTGGTGCTCCCGCCAGCGGTAGCCCGAGCAGGTACGACACGTCCTGCAGTGTCGGAGCCATCTCCCCACAGGGAAGGTGGAACGTGTGCGTCTCAGGTCTCCAGCGGTCTACAAGAGCGGCAAGGAGTGACCGGTCTGCATCCCACCGCTTCGCTGGGTCACGGTCGTCCGCCGCCGCCTCAACAAGCCTACAAAGTGGTAGAAGGCCTGCCGCATGCAACCTGTATAGAGCAAACTTCAAACATAAGTACGACACAAAGCAAAGTTGAGTTGAAATGTGAACATACGCGTACCAAGGAACGTGACGGGGGTCGACACGCAACCACTCGCGCGACGTGCGTGGACGGAAGGTGCCGAGCTGTGCACCCTCGACTGCTGACAGGAACGAGCGGTGGTTCCTGTCAATCCCACGGTTCAACAGCGCCGGTGTGTCGTACGCCATACCTGCATCAAATAGGTTGATCAGAAACATATAAATAATTAGTTCAACATAAGTAATAAATGTTCATAAGCGAATTACTAACACATACTAAACAAGAGTACAAACAAACAAAAGTGTTTAGTCCGAACACTCATCACGATAACATTATGATACAACACCGAATAGTTCGCAATACTACTAGTACAACAATAGTCGGAGGTACTCATTACAACAACATTGAATTGAAATTACACGATAGAAGTATTTAGTCCGAACACTCATTACATCACAACAGCATTTTATTTCCTAAATCGAAAGCATTGTTACACCATGGAATCGCCTGCTGCGCGACGACGCCTTGGCCTTGCGCGCCTGCTTGTTGTTCCTTCACCAGGTGGTCGCCTACCATCACTTGCCTGTCCAGATGGACTAGCATCTGCGCCGCTTGGAACTTCTGCATTCTTCGGGCATTTCTTGTAAGTATGGCCGCGCAGATCACACTTGCTGCAGCGTAAAGTCCTCCCACCTGCTTCTGACTCATCCATATCATTTTTGATGCGTCTAGTTTGGCGTCGACCCTTTTTCACCCTTAACTTAGATGGATCTGGAATATAAAAAACTTGGGCACTCAGCGTTGTGTAAGATCCTGAGATCCCGAACCCATATATCTCCTCACTCCATGTATGAAAGATTGCTTCTTTCCTGAAATAATTTGAGACGTACACATTGGGAGATATGCCACAATCACCGGCAGCAGCAAGAACGTGTGAGCAAGGAAGGTGATGAAGCTTCGGCTTCATACAACTGCAGGTACATCCACCATCCGCCTTCAAGACACATTCCTGCACGGCTTGCTTGCGATAGATACCACGCCTGCTCCTATCAACACACATTATTTCATACCGA